TTTTGTATCAGATTCTAATTTCAAACAGAATTTAGTTTGCGATTGACAGGTAACGTTAGTTTCTCTGATGCTACCACTCTTTTCATTTACAACTCCATGACCACCAAATATACATTGTAATGAATTAACTGTGGAGACAGTTAATGCGATCAGAAAAATCCTGACAAGCATATAGTAGAACGAATTTTTTAGCAATAATAATTTCAAAAAAAATTCCTGTAAGAATTTATCAATGATAAACTTTAATGAATATATCACAAGTGCGAAGCGTTACTTTATTATTTGATTATTTCCGAACTCTTTTTTGACAATTGCCTATTCAGGCATAATTTTCTGCAAAAAAGTAAAAAAAGAGATGAAAATCCAGCAACAACAGTCAATAATAGTATTAGCATGTAATTAGTAATTAATTTGCATGAGTGAGAAAAATTTCGCATTACACAATGCTAAATGTGATTTGCGAAATCGTAAAATGAATAAAAAGAAATGGAGAATCATAAAATCATCTTAATTATTTAAAACAAATAAATGATAGTTGCATAAAGAAGAGCGCTTGTTCGAATTGATAGTAATCGTAATAACAATCCGCTTCTTCTAGTAAATATTATCATCCAAAACCAGTTTCAATCAAATGCCTCATCATTTACAGAGAAAAACGTGCATGATTACCGGTCTCTTAGTAATGTGTCGCAGTTGAATGGAATTAAATTTTGAATTGTATTCGAAATGAAAATGATAATATTGAGCATTCATGCGTAAATAAGAGCTTTTAATAGGAACGGATAAATGTGTAAAAAGATTTTTTCTTTTGTCCTACGTTTCAATTTTTTCGGAACAAAATCAATATAATCAAAAATTATTCGAGTAAAAGAAAAAAGAAATCCTTTTAATCTCTCGGAATTCGGGAATTTCTTGAAACTCAGTTATCAGAAAAAATAGCATTTTCATATCTCCAAAAACATCATTTTCATATCACATCATATCGCTGGTTCCCTCTAAACTTTCACATCGCAGGTTGAATTTTTTTTCGAAAAAATTTTTATAAACACCACGCGAATAGCCTTAACTAACTTAACTAAAAAATAAAACATTTTTTAATATAAAATGTCAAAAAAATTTGATCAAATAATTGGCATGTTATAATTAGGATTTAAATTATCACCAACATATAGTTTTATTATTGCTCTTTTCTAGTTTTCATCACACATTTGTGTTAGGCATATATTTTTGTTACTCGGGCCTACTTTTTCTTAATTTTTCGAGATCATTAACAATTTTTGTGCAGTAAATAAATTAACAAATTTAGCCATAAGATCAAATTAATAAATGAATGGTGGAAAGTGTCAAAATAAGATGGTAGTATAAATTGGTGGAAAGAAAATATTTATTTTGCAAGGTCACGGATTCAAAAATATTAAATATTTTGGACGAAATCTTTTGACTCAAAAACAAAAATTCTATTTACACCACATCCTAATCATGCATACTCATGTATACTTAACTTTAACATTTTTTTCATTTATTTAATATTCGTGTTTAGTCATTGCACAAATTCATTTAATATTCTCATATGTGTCAAATAAATTTTTAGTATGTATGACGTGTTTAGACCTGTTTAAAATTCAAAATGATGCGAATAATTTAAAAAAAAAACACAATAATAAATAACGCAAAAAAACTGTGCAGAAATTTTAAAAGAAAAACATAACAAAACTATAATTAAATAAGCTACAAAAATATTTCCAGTGAGCATAAAATTTCACGGACAAAAAAATAAAACAAAGAAATCAATGGTGAACTTCCAAACAAAAGAAACAACTCATGACTAAAATTTATAAAAAATAGAATTTTTCAAAGAATTTTAGTGCAAAAAAAAAACAAAGATTTGGAATATACAATTTTGAGGGATTCCTAAATAGAAGAATGAAGATCGAATGAAAACGTCAACCAAACTGGAGCATATCCAAAAGTGAAAGATACAGGTAACAATTGCACCTGGTAGAAATGATTGGAAAAAAGTTGCCATTAACCCAATAAGAAAAAGTTGAAATACCTTCAACCAGAACTCATTCAAAACAAATACAACAGGTCTATGGAAGAAGCCCGCAAATAACACTATAATAAATTCCATACGCAACTTCCAAACTCAAAGTACAATGAAAAAGAATCACATCAATTTAACAAATGTCATATAAAATTTCGTCTAAAGTAGTGCCATCTAAATAATACCGTCTCTTATTTTTCTCAACATGAACGCCGGATATATTCATCACAACAGGACTTCATTGTTGATCGGTTAATTATCAATTTGTCGCTAAGCTGATATCATTGCGCACATATCGAAATGTTGTGATTCAAATAAATCTTAGAAATATTTCTTCTAACTAAATTTTTTGCTCACAATTAATAAGGGACATAAAAGTAGTAAACACATTGGTAAGTGAAAAATTCAAAAAAAATAGTTAATGAATGAAAGCGCAATTCATCAAATACAGTAGAAATTTCGAGCAGTACATTTCTTACATTTATATCCTTCGAATATTTTTGGATAGTAAAAGTTTGAAAATCTTTACTTAAAAAAACTGAAGTAATAAAAAAAGCAAGTTTATACGTAAACATTTTGATATGAATATAATAATTGAAGTCATTTTGTCATTTTGTATCTCTTCAAATTTATTAATTTAAACTACTAAGTGAAAAGTTGTTTTTCCTCTGAAATTGTTTTGCTTTCTAAAAATACTAATTTTACTTTCTCAGTTTTTTTTTGAAATATGCAAGTATTGTAATGTTAATGATAATTTTGACAGTTCATCAACTAACTTTGCATTGATTGTTGCAATCAAAATTTTAATTATAAAGAAAAAATATTTTTAATTAAACTTTGATCGGATATCTGCTGGAAATTTTGTCAATAATTTAAAATTCAGCTGAAGTTGTATGATAAAAATACTTCGAAAATAACTCTCATGACTTATTGGGATGTATTAAAATTTTTTTAATTATTATAATGTTAAATTTACATACAAAGCTTGGTGTATTTTTGCCATTTCTCGTATTGTATCGGCAGCAACTTCACTGTGCAGTACATGCCATCATCGAGTGATGAAATTGCAGTAAAAATAAGTCATTATTTTTGGAGCGTACGAAAATATAAATTTATTCTTCAAGAACTTTCAAAATTTGACGACAAAGAGATCTGATTAGTTTTTTTATAGGAATAAAGTGAATATCGATAAATTTGATTAGCTCTAATTTATACTTTACTTCTTTTTTAGATTAGTTGCAAGGTAATGATACTTTGAAAATAATCTTCATAAGTCATTAGAATGAATTAAAATTATCTGAATTATTTTAGTGTTGAATTTACATATTGGATTTTTGATGTATGAAAGAAAGAGAGAGAGAGAAAGAGAGGTCAAATGGGTTAAACAAGAAACTAATCATTCCATATGGCTCGGGATGTATTTAGTGGTAAAGATGTAATAATTCATCAAAAGAACAGGTTTCATCAGCATGTATAGGCAGCGAAAATGGAAATGATTTTGCGTCACGTTTTTGACCTTCTTCTGCATCCTTGGAATGTTGAAATGAATGATAACGCAAACTTCCGAAAGTCAAAGTTTACTCATTTTAACGAGTGAAGTGATAAATGACTAATTCAGTAGCTTTCGCCCTTGAATGAAGCTGAAATGAACTAAAATGTATTGACATTAACGCGGATAAAATAAATCGGAATTCAACCAAATTAATCATTTGAAATAATGTGTAAAAATAGCTGCGCTTGTAATAAAATAGAATGTAAATTTAAAAAAAAAAAACATTTCGATTATTATCACTTTAATTATGACGTATCTTTGAGATAGAAAAAGTATTTTAAATCATATAATACGTGGAAATATTTGATGGAGGCGAGAGAAATTTAGTCATATTAAAAGCAAGTATTATTTTATTTTTTCTTCCTCAAGAGTAACAATTTTTTCATTCTAATATGTAGGCTCTTCTCAGGTTTTAAAATTGCTGAAGAAAATGGTGAGGGAAAAAGAGTCATATTTCAATTTATATCGCGATTGAAATCAATCAATTTTTACGCATAAGTTGAGTGTGTTCCATTAATAGCAAATGTTTTCAAAAATTTGCAAAAACATTAGCTTAATGTGCGATTTATTTCATTAACTGAAAATTAGTGCATAAAATATTAAAATATGATGAAAATGTTTGTCTTAACAAAATTATGAGTGGGAAATTTGATAGAGACAGATAGATTGATAAAATAAATTGAATGATATGAATGAATGCCAGTAAAGAAGATTAAATCAGTTAAGCAACTGTCGCAGAAATTAATTGCTTAGATACTATTGGAGATGAATTAAAATGATTAAAATGCAGTGTTTCGATTGCAAAGTTAAAAGTTATGAAAAATCACTGCGAGATTTAATTGCAGCACGAAAGAATGAATTAGTATGGAACTTGGATTTTATGCAAAAAGTTACAGAACTCTCAAAAAAATTCGACAAAATTCTATTATATTGCTTTAACATGCAAGATATTTTGAGCCAACAAAAAAAAATTATTAGCATAGTTATTTGATTTAATTAAGTTTTATAATAATAATGAAAAGTAACAGAAATATGATAGATGATGGCAATGCAATTGATGAAGGCAGTACACTTTGATCAGGAGACATGAAATTTTAAAAGTTAATTATGTTAAGACTGAAGTACTGCCGTAGATTTAATTAATCAATTAATTTTCAAAAACAATTTTATTTTTTTTAACATATGATATGTATAATTTTTGCAATTTTATACTTATTTTGTGATCAAAAATCAAAAAAAGAAAATTTGGCGTAAATGTACGGTGAAAGAAATGTAATAAGACATATGTGAACTATTTAAACCAGAAATTAGCAAAAATGGGGAAATGGACGTTCTCTGATAGGAAACAAATCATCGAAATATTACTTTCATTTAAAGAATTTCTCAATTATTCTTGGAAGATTTTCATAAAATGTAGTCGAGAAGGAGCAGTATTACTATGCCAACAAGTAATGAAGTGCTTTTAAGCGGTACTTCTGCTCCGGCTTGGGGAGTGATGTGCGAGGTGTGTGAATCACGAGGCGCTGCTGTCGTTGCGCCCGGTGTGCAGCAACAAATACCATTTCCGTCCGGACATGGCTGCAAATTCAATAATATAAAAAATGATTGTTAATACTAATTTTTGATAATATGATCTGTAACAGTGATAATAATTTTACTTGCGAAGATAAGAAGTAAGAAAATGTGGGAAGGAAAAGATGGTGAAATTAAAATTTGATGAATGATAAATTAAAAAGGATACAGAACATACCACACAGCACTGTGTGCTAACTTTTGGTTGTTGCAGATTGATAAACGGTTCAAAGTGGTAAAACATATATGATTGTTGTGGTATGATATTGAATAATGCAGGAAAGTGTGCTTGAGGTACACGAATTTGCACCGGCGGTATCACCAAACCAGCACCTGAACTGTCAAAATGTGGGTTGAAAATTTCTCGATATTTCAGAAATTGAAATGATACATAAGCGGTATTTTTTGGTTTAGGATAAATTAAAGATTAAAAATAAGCCATCTTTCTTACTAGATCTTTTTCGATTTTTTTAATAACAAAAAGTGTCTCAATTTGTGTATACCTATTAGAGAATGTGTCATCACATTGACCGTATTGATGAGACCAATTCCTAAATTGGTAGCAGCTTTACCTGTGCTTTCATCTTCATCCACAGTACATTTACAGCAGAATTTCGAATCTTTTTTATTAGCAACTGCAATTGGTAAGGCGGCAGTTGCCAAAAGAATATAAGTGGTTATCAATAGATAGCATAATATACGCAACATTATTACCCTGAAATAAAATTCTTCTATCCTTAGGTAATAAGATTAGCTCATAACACATTCATTTCGTCAATTTTGCTTTAATTTTTTCCTTTCGTTTGGTTCTTGTTAAATAACCGCACGATGAGCGATTATCAAAAATTGTTTGGTCTAAGAGTTTATAAAGCTGACCACTCTAATTTTGCATAATACATGCGCTAATCTTATTGATGGCTCAATTAAAAGATGTATTAAAAGTATTACTATTTTGTTAAATGTCATGAAATTGAAGTGGAATTTCATTAAAATTAAATAGCGTTTTCTATAAGATCAAAATTGGAAAACATTGATATCAAGGGAAATGAGAGAATATTTAAGCTTAAAATACTTGCAAATAAAGCTATGAAGAGCAATAACTAAATCAAAAAAAGTCGTTGATTGCAGGTAATGCATCGCCATCGTTTTCCATAGGAAATTATGAATGGGAGAAGTCCTTTTATTAGATGTGCACCAAAATCAAAATGTTCTTTAATATTAATTGAAATACTTTGTAGAATAAAAAAGAATTCAACAGCAAAAAAAAAAACTTTTTGCTGAACTGACTCATTCACCATTCCAAGTGAGAAGAGAAATATTCATCTCAAGTGAGAAATATGCGATAAAGAATGCTTCGTAATGGGTGCAGACATACTACAATGTTACGATATGCACACATAACATTTGTGATCGCTTCTTCTTAAGAAGCAATGATTTCTCACCGAAATAATTCTCGATATTTTGTATTTCTGAAATTGATTCCATCATTGTTTCGTTATCACATATACTTTCATTGTTGATCAATTTCATTCCAATCATTATATAAATTTTCATAAAAATTTGAAAGCAAAAAGAAATGTGACAAATAGCTCATTTGCTTCTCTTACTCATAAGCATTTTTCATTTATCACAGTTAAAATGTTATATTTTAATGGGTGGAACAGCATTTTTGAATATTGTGGAAAAGGTCGCAATTTCATCTCAATCATTTTAGTCTTTTGAAAATCTCTAATCAAAATACGAATTGAATAATCAATTCGGTTAGAAATCTTTCTTTATGCATTTCAGATGGAATCGCTTTAAAAGTTAATAAATTAAAGTCATGGATTGCATCAAAGTTAGTGTGTGCAACGAGCACAATGCGCTAAATGACATTATACTATGCTTTTAAAAGCAGATTTTTTTGACTCAAGAAATGTTAATAATTTTTAATTTATTTATTATCAACTATCTTATTCAAATATTATCAAAAAGAGAACAGTAACTTTTCAAAAAATACAGTATAGCTAAATGCATATGCTATTAATCTTTTACATTCATCTAAGCGAGAATGTTACAGAAAATAGAGCTTTCAAAAAATTGGTTTATAATTCAAATTTTATTAATCGAAGATTATCATAAAGTTTTAGTTTCCTTATCAACAAATTTATTTTAACAATAAATCATTTTATTACTTCAATATTAGCTGTCACAGTATATTTCATTCAACAAAACCTGACCCATTAACTTCATCGAATTACTGATCTTTTAAAAGTCTTTTTTTCCTGCTAAAAATACAAAACGAAAATTCCTTTAAATAAAACGAATTTTGTAGAATTGGAGAAACAACTGAGAATTAAACATTTATACATGCACGCTTTCTTTTCAAAATAACTTTTGCGCTTTGTCTTTACGAGTAAATTTTGAATAAGAAATAATATTAATTAATTAAGTTAATTTAACTCTTTTTATAATCACTCTTTTTGGTCTAATTTTGTCTCGATATGAGTTAGGCCAAAAACACATTGTTGTTTTTCAAAATTCCGCCTGCCATACCACATTCTCTGATCATTTTGTTATATCCCCGAACACTGAGTGTTTTGAACATGGAGAATTTCGAATTCATACAGTAATTCAAGCAATAACATCAATATAATAATTTTATTGTCAGACATTTTACAGTATCATTCGAGTAATCAGTTCAGTCATTGTTTTACAAATATTTCAATTAGAATTGTTTGCCAGTTTTTTACATATTCTTTGGTGAAACATAACGATAACTTTACGAGAAACTTTCAAGATATCCGATAAATCACTGATATTTCTAGTGAATTGAACTATACAAAATCTCCAGAAGATATTTAAAATCGCTCACTTTTTATTAAATAAAAAATCCCCAAAGGATAAAATTGAGCAATGTAATTCAAAAATCTGTAAAATTCCTTTCCTTCTTTCAACTAATACTGAGTTAATACAAATGATTTTTTAAATCAAATTTTTCAAAAATAAATAAACATTTCTGATAAGCAAGCGATAATGAAATCACCACTCTTTCTCGTTTCATGCTGAGCTGACTGTCTCAGTAGAAATTGAGATGAATCACTTATCCGATGATCCGCCAGTTTTCACTCTGTCTACTTCTCACGTATGAAAATTACTTAGCGTGGATTTTACGGATGGACGGATGAACTGTTGATATTGTTTTCGTGATTTGTGTCAGTCGGCTGCGTTAGCTCATTCGTCCGTTATTATGTATAATTTAAAAGCTTTTGAACTATTTACACATTGTGTAGAGTGAAGTCTGTGCATCAGATTTCAAACAGAAATGCCTGCATCCGGCCTGCGGATTATAAATGTGGATGCGGAACGTGTCTACAAAGCGTCGCTGTCGCTTTCCGGATGCGGGTTTCTCTGTATATATCATGCTGGCGTATGCGCAGCTATTAAAGAATATGCTCCGCAGCTGTTGCGAAATCGAATTTCCGGTGCCTCTGCCGGTTCAATCATCGCTGCCGGTGTTGTTTGTAACTTATGTCTTTCCCGAGCTACGAGCTTCTTCCTTAACGTCGTCTCTGAAGTAAGCACATTAAGAAATTTTTTTTTTTTTGTCATTTACCGGATAAGATATTAAGCAGGAGAAACATAACCTTTTCAAAGTAAGATATATTTAGCTAAGTAAGTGACGCTGTTATCTATAATGTGCCGCATGCTGTTTGTTATGTTTCATCATTTTAAGGCAAGATCATATACATTCGGCGTTCTAAATCGAGATTTCGACTTGATGAAATTGTTGCGAATGAAACTGAATTCTATCTTACCAATTAATGCTCATGAGCTTTGCACTGGTCGGTTGAGGATTTCAGTAACTCGATTTCGTGACATGGAAAATGTGATATTGGATGAGTTTCATACCAAAGATGAACTCATCGATGTATTTTTTTTCATTATTTTATTATAATGGCATTCACTAGTAATATATAGCAGATTAAGCAGCTATTTTTGAATGGATGTTTGATGTGCTTGCTTTGTCGTGAAATATATATGTAGCATGTTTGGTGATTCGGACAGAATCTAATAATTCTTCTATAGTCTTCAGTCAAGGAGTGGAGATGAGTTTAATGGCAATTAAGAAATTCAGCTTTTAAAATATGAATAACAGAAATGAAAATTTAAATGAATAAGACATGTTTTTATAAATGATATGGTAGAACAATATTATTTCTTGTGATATCGATGATGCTAAGTCGTGTTCGATGCAGATTAGTTTGCTTACGATGCAGATTAGATTAGTATGCACGATACTCTTAAATTAAAATTTTTATCACTAAATCACAATTCTCTATTGAAACTAAATTACGAAATGGTTGAAAATCAAAGTTTTTAGATGTCATTCATTGCAGGCAATTTGTTGTAGTTGTTTCATTCCTGTATATGGTGGTTTTGTTTATCCAACATTTCGGGGTGAAATTTACATGGATGGTGGTGCTAGCGATAATCAACCGATTATTGATATTGATACCATAACAGTCTCTCCATTTTCGGGTGAATCTGATATTTGTCCGACAGATGAGGAAAGTGCCAGGTTAAAATCTTTGTATTAATTTTTTGATTGACATCTACCGAATCAATTGGCCTTCATTATTCCTGATCACATTAGATTAACCAGGAACTGAGACACGATATTTAGGATGGACTAATAATGAGAAATGCTAAATTTTTTAGTTTTCTTTCAATCACATCATTTCAAAATCATGACTTTTCTTTTAAATTTAGCTTATTTGAGTGGAATTTTGCTGGAACTTCTATTCGACTGACAACGAATAATTTGTATCGCGTTGCTTTATGTCTTTTCCCCCCGTCTGCTGAAGAATGCGTTTCTATATGCCGAAGTGGTTTCAATGACGCTTTGAAATTTCTTGTTGGTAATGGTAAGTTAGAAGAAAGAAATATTTTATAACGCTGTAGCTCAAATTTAAATATATATGTTTGTTTCGTATTTAGCGCTTTGGATTCACGTTGATCAGTATTGTGGAAAATGTTGTGTTTTTTAATCAATTAATAAAATGGAAAAACAAGGTGTCAAAGATTAGTTATGTGCTTTATTTTTGATTTTTCACGTGTTAGGTTCATGAAATTGTTTGTCTTGGATTCTTTCAGATTCCAGTGAGGCTTCTGGCACACGGCAATATATTCTCATTTTCAGGTTTTATATCAAATGCAGTTTGTCTTTTAGTAGAATCAAATTTATCAACTAATTTGAATCAAATAAATGAAACACTTAATGCCGCAGTATCATCGACCTCCACGACGTGTCAAGAAAGGTTGTATCAGAGTTGGCAATCAGTAAATATTTTTCGGTTATGGACTTCGTAACTTGTTTATTAGGAAATCCGTGTATTTTTTATCTGTACATTATAAAAGTTATGTTCGATAGTTTAGCCAAAATTGCAGAGATCACATAGCAAATAACATTAGTCATTTTTGCATTAAAAGCCATTATTTATTGTATTTTAGTTTTCCGCTTGTTTCAGTTATGAGAACGGAAAAATTGCGGGATGTATTGATACTATTCGCTCGACGGAGTCCACTCAGTTACCATATTCGATGCAAAGCGGTAGTAACTTGTCTCCATTTTTTTTGTTAAGCAAATATTTATGCATATTTTTTTTAAAATTATGGCTTAGAAGATTTGGAAAATTCAAACAGCAAATTGATGGTTTTCATTTTCATAGAAATTATAAGAAAATTTCAGCATTTGATGAAGCAGTGGAAGAAAAATGGTTTCTGGATTACATTCGTTCATTTCGGGTTGTTCAATTAGCTCATTACGTGACATTGCCTTTAACCATAGCATATCAGTGGTTCAAATTTTGTCAGCGGTTCGTTAATACCTTTAATTTTTTGGTTGTATTTTAAGTATTGTTATTATTTATATCACACCAATATTTCAAAGCTTATATATTTAGAAATTATTTTTACATTTTATTCTTTTTCTTATAATGAATTCGATTTTCATGGATTTTGAACAAAAATTTGCATTTTTTATCTTTCAGAAAAATTTGCAAACTGGTTTAGAATTAGATAATGTGGTTTCAAACCAAGAAATTAGAACTGAAATTAAAACTAATTGCTTGCATACATCGTTCGTTTATAGTGCAAATGAAAAAGATGGCAAGATTTTTAGTTTAAGTACTTGGCTGGCAACACGAATCACGAGGCGTATTGCAGACGACTGGTATAGTATGAAAGTAAGGCATATCATCGATTTCATTTTGAATGAGATTCATGCGCAGGAAGCGAAAATTTCTGCAAGGTAAGACAACAACTTTGTATTTATCATTTAGGAAAACATTCAGTCTTCCTTATAGTTCTGTTATTTAAATGAATTTTTTTTGTTTAAAATTTGGATTCATTTTCTCAGACTTAGCCAGCAGTTGGCAATCACTAAAGTAGAACTCACTGGAGTTGGTCAACAACCCATTGTTCGAGAACAACTTAATATGAATTTGTTATCTGAAGCTATCGAAGAAAAAGAAACATTGAGAAGCATAGATAAGTTATCATCGCAAACAGCATTATCATATGTTAAGGTTTGTGATTATTAAATGTAAAGATAAAACAACTGATTAAACTTATATGATCAAATTTCTAGTTTTCTGGAATGCAGTGTTCGGTAAATAGTTGTGTGATAATCGGTTACGTGTTAATACAACGCACTGAATGTTCATCGCATTTCGTTTATTAACGAAACTCTTAATCTTTTTCAAAACTGGCCATTTTGTAATATTCATGTAAACATTTGTAAAATTGGTGATATTTTCAGAGTAACTGTCAAACGGTTTTTCCACTGAAAAAGAAATCGACTCATTTCAGTACTAGTTTGTCTACAAAGGAGGTAGATTAGACTTCAAGACAAATTATTGCACGCACTCCAAAGTGCAGTTTCGTTCCGTATTTTATTACAAATCGAAAAGTAATAAGGTAATTGATTCAGTATGCTCTATTTAGGAAGATTATGTGAGAAAAGCTTTCTTGTTGTCGCGGATTGCTAGAGATTAGTTGATGAGAAAAAGAAGTGAATATTCATGTAGTTTTAAATACATGTTATCTTTTGTAAAAAAACCATATAACAGTTGGAATTACGTTGTTTAGTGTATGATGAAAAATAATTCCACTTCTTTAGTTTCGTATATGTGGAATATTCGATTTCGATTACTGAGAAAGCAACGATATGGATTCAATGATTGATAATTTTGCAGCAAATTCTAATCAGTTAAAGCAACATGATGAATTTATTTTTCGTAGCATACTTTTTTCTCCTGAAGTAATTTAAATTATTATATTTGTACTTATTTATACATTCACTGTGATGTGCTCTATTTTATGGCTTCACATTTTCAAAGGACACCGTTGGAACCTTATTGTATCATATCATTATGATTTTGGAAAACTACACATTTTGTTGGACAACAGGCTTTTTGCTGTCTAAGAAATAATTTAAATTATTATCATAATACTTTTTTGGGGCGACAAATGTATTTAAAATCTGATATTTAAAATCCAGTCTTGTGATTATTTCATGGTATATTCAGTTCTTTTGGTTTGAACATAATTTTCATTTGTATCCCGTAGATTTCATTTGGATTGTATCCGATAGATTTTTTTCTAGTTCAGTAGCAATTTTCATTCTGATTCTTCCATGCTAAAGTTTATTATATTATGACACCTTTGCCGCGGATTGTAGTTAATTTCGATTTCAACATTTGTTTGTAAATTTTTTAATTGCAAGATATAAATAATCATAAGAAAGAAATCTGCATCAATTTCAGAGAAGTTCAATATGAAAATTAAATTTTCTTTTGCTACCTGTTATGAACTGCTGCACTTTTTACATCACACATCCACACCGTCGTATGGCCGAGGTGGTCCGTATATGCTGTCCTGTTTCACTGGAAATTCAGTCCAATCCCGTCCAGTCTGTTGCATGGACGCCATATGCCACTCAGTGAAGAAGTAGGGCATCTGATAATGTAATTTGCATGTTAAGGTTGGATTGATTGCAGCTGGTGGCCTCTATAGTATGGTGATGAAAATCTGACAGAAAATAGCGTAATCTTGATGACGCGGTGAGGACTAAAGATGAGCGAGTGATAGGCATCAGAGATAATAGTGGAGTCATTCTTGTCTTTCTGAGTTCCCAACTTCCTCTCATTAATTTTTGAATTTCTTACTTGGAACTGATCAAAGATCACTGAAAATTATTGCTGCTTTTTATGGTCGTGCAAAAATGCTTTGTATTAACAAACAATGGTTCCCTCCCTTCATTTTGGTGAATAGAGTTGCGTATACAATGACGTACTGAATTACAACTAGTAAACTTATTCCTCAGCTATCTTTCTTCTCTAATTTCCTTTGTTTCACTGTTCTAGTGCTTCCCATTGATTGTATGAAATGAATGCATTCTGAATACCAAAAATATTATGATACAATAGGGCGTGAGTGACCATATATCATCCATTATTTTACAGTTTTGTTTCTTCCGTATAATGTTTTATAAATATAATAAAAAATGAAATAATTACGTTTTATATGCTGGGCAAGAATTCTCTGCGAAATAATTCGTCGCCATTTTTGAGGGAAACGTTTTGCATGAATTACGTAGTCAGCAGTTTGCATAAATTATAGAGTAAATTTAAATGTTGATAATTCTAGTTATGAATATTGTTACTCCTGAAAGTGACGGTGGTGTGCAAATGTCACAGTACCAGTGCTCTTTTTATTCGTTACGTCCCAAGCAAGTTGATTTTGATGCTACTTGGGAAAATGTTGAAAATACTATCAAAAGGATCATGAAACTGCAACCGCTCGAACGACGTGTTTGGGATTACAATTTTTAGTGAATATTGAATTTTGTTAAAATTTTATTTTTGAGAAGAATTCTCGTAGCTTACATTACACATTCTAAACTAAGCCTTATTGGCGAAACTTCCGGATATGTACTGTGTAGAACAAATCCATTCTCTTTGATCGACTGTTTCTGTAGTAAAATGATTCGTTGGGCTTAAAACTTTACAAATCATTTTACAGGAAAACAATCTTTCATCCTAGTTCAGCATACATCCCATCATATGGAATGTAAGATGAATCTTAACACTTCAAGTATAGATTTGCAGATGTCAGTAGCAGATATTACAATATTAGAAGGAAGTTAGATAAAATAAACATAAGGCAACAAAAAGAGAAGCAAAAATAAAATAAATTCGCTAATTAATTGTAATCAAGTGTATTTCCGTTCATATTAACTTAATAATTTAAGTTAGTTCCGTACTATTAAATGCGCTATTTAGATACGATAAGGTGTTAGGTAACCAAGATGATTGAAATCAAGTAGATTGGAATTGTAGCAGTTAAACAATCATTTCAGTGACATCTATTCTTTATGTGTTGCAATTCCCGAGCCATTAAGTGGACGCTTATATCGAAAAACAGAAGAATGTTTAGAAGCACATGTCACGGAATTGTATCAGGTACTAAATGAAAGTTATTTTATCGAAGTAAATTCTAAGCAGCAGTGAATTTCGAAGCAAACTACGGTTTGTGAAATGGGAATCCCCTATATAGCATATAATTCGATTTTTAAAGTTTATGTTACCTATTGTAAGGTTGGTTTTCTGACGTTATAAAAGCGTTTCTATATTGCCTGCTGTTTCTAAGGATTCAGTTTATTTGGTTCTTTGTATATTCATTTTGTACTAATAAGTTTTGTTTTTCTAGCAGATAAGTTTAGCAAATGATTCTGAGCTTCTTACCGTTTACTGCCAACTTTGGAACGTATATTACAAAGGAGCATTATGTGTTCATAATCTTTTTGGGTAAGTAATTTCTGAACTGATTAATTGACACATATTTTTCTTGTTGTTGTTCATTATGCATTTATTCTGTTATAATGGCATGAATTTGCTCAAATTGAAAAATGTAAAAGATTATATTTATTGGTATGTTTTAAAGGTACCTTAACAAGCAATATATCAAAATTAAACGTTGTACTGAAATTGAAGGCGGATACGGAGCTTACAGTCAATATCTTACACAAAAAAATGTCAAGGAGATTGGTTTGGTATATTTTTTTCTTTTTTAAATTATCAAATGATTTTCATCTGCTAACTAACCTGATCTGACGTAATTCCTTCTATGCCTTTATCCCCGCAAATATTGTTTCTGTTTTCTTTTCTTTAAAAGGCGATTGTGGTGAATGAGTCTCATATTCACTTGCTTACAAAAATTTATCAGTTTGGTCTGGATTATAGAACTTTTACCTCTTTCCAGGGAAAACGTTAATTTCATAAACTAGAAGGTTGACGTAACTCTCTCGACGCCTTTGTATTTCTTTAATTTTTGGAGGGAAGCTGCTTTTTAAAAGATGTTAATTATGATAAAAATATAGTATGGGAAAGTATTTTATAGCTTGCAATGGAAATTTGGCGAAAAAAATTAATAAATCCAATGGAAAAACGGCTAGTTGGTCACGTATTGAATGCTATTGCTGCAGATCGTGAAGGACGAAACAACATTCCGGTAGACATTGTTCGAGGTGCCATCATGTCCTTTGTCCAAGTATGCTAATTGAAATATTTGATTTTAATGTCATTGAACAACGTTTATTAATTTTCAGACGAGTCAAAATTTTTCAACATAGGCATCCATACCGATGTTTTGTTCATTACCTCACTATGAGTAAAATGTTTTCTTCAATGGAAATTGGAAGAAATCCAATTCTTTGAGAAAAAATTACTTTTCATATGTTGATATCAATGAAAAATGAATATAAACAGTGTTTGAAGCAAGATAGAATCTTCTGATATGTTATTTGCGTTTTTTAGGTGGATGATGTGGATGGTATGCGTGAAGTATTAGATAAGTCACCATCAAACTTGCCACAGAATTACGAAACATATCGGGAAATGTTTGAAAAAAAGTTCTTGCAAACAACAACTGAATATTATACAGTGCTCTCCATTAAACTGCTTAATGAACTTAGTTGTTCTCAGTACATGGAATCTGTAAGTTATTTTTTGTGTTTTTTATCCGTTCCGTGATTTCGTATCATAGAGTAGGATTTTTTTTTGTTAAACCTTGTATCAGATATATGAGTTCAAAAACATATCAGTTTTATTCTGTTTACAACAAAATAATCGGAACATTTGTAAAACGAATGTTGAATCTAAAATTTATCTTTTCCGATTCATTGCAGTGATATTCATTTCATATATGGTAATCTGGATAACTAATCATCGAAAAGTGCATAATTTTAAGGTAATTACACGAATAGAAGAAGAAAATGAACGCTCAATTCGTTTCCTACATAAAAGTAGCCATGACAAAGTTACTAAACTATGTCAAGATGTAATGGTGGATGCTCATAAAGAACGTCTATATGCTATTTGCCATGAATATATCGAAGACGAATGTATAAATGGTATATTTCAATTTTCCTGCCATAAGGTTTAGTTATTGCAGATATCCTGTTGAAAACTTCCTGATATCTTTGGATTTTTTCATACTTTCAGTTTCTTTGAGTGTTTTAAAGGCTTCAAAGACAACATTGCGAATACTTGATTGATTGGAAATATATTTATTCTAGTACTTTCTAATGCCAATGTTTTTCTGTTATTATATTCATCCTTGGGAAGTTTAATGTTATCCTTATTTGAGAAATAGAATTCAGTACATATTAATTAGATTTTTTTGCAGATCTTCACAACATGTATCGTATTCTGAAACCTATAAACGGAGGATTATCGGTTGTGATTCGCGAATTTCAAAATTTTGTCAAGAAAACTGGTCTTGAAGTAGTGAAAGGTATGCGTGGTGATAATATTCCCCAGCAGTTTGTAGAAAGTGTATTGCAGGTAAATGATTCAACAATTTTTCATAGTCTCTATTAAGAATAATTTTTTTTTCATAATCTCTATTAATAATAGAAACTTCGGTGAAACGAAACATGCAAAGTAATTATAGATATGAACTTAATGCTTCCATATGATTCTATTAAATATATGCAAGATTATTATATATGTCATTAGTTCTTGTGCTGTTTAAAATATTTCGACATTAGATGACCTAATTTGATAAGAATATACTTGATGTTTTTTCGAAAAGTTTTTAAATTGAATGTGATATGTGAATAGCAAACGTGCATGAATACATCTTATTCATGCATGTTATTAGCAGGTATATAATCATGAAACTGAAAATATCGAGCCAAAGCAAACGTACTCACAGCATGTTTAATTTAAAAAATTTCAAGTGATTTATAGTTCTCAGTAGACAATTTTTTCTAATTGACCATCTAAATTTCCCATTTTGTTGCAAGCATTTGCTGTGGTACCGTGCTGACTTCTTTGAGCAGATTAGTGACATCAAATATTTAGAATAATTTATTATTATTTATTGGAATAGTTTATTCAAGATTTTCCTGCTATTATTTTTACAAGGGAGAAATGAAAAAATATAATATATATGCAGCTTTTATTTATCAATTGTCGTTTGGTTAAATCAGCATTTTATTGATTTGTTTTGGAATTGCAATGCTCAGATATCCATCCTGATCTAAGAGCTACGTTTTGGAATTAAAAGCGAAAGTGAAAAACTAGATAATATCGTTAGGGAGAGATTTAAAGAGGCAATATGCATTCTATTATTATGGATTTTGTGTTATTATTTGCTACTATTTATAGGTTTATAATAGGTTCTCGTCAATGGTTACAAAAGTTTATTACGACGATGGCGATTTTGTTGGAGCTCTGGATAAAGTACTTCTTTGAAAATATTGTAATCTGACCATCCAATTTAAGTAGAAATTTAAGTTTTATGAAAATAATTTTTGAATCAGAAGTTGAAGATGATAAAATAACACAGAACGATGGAAGATGGAGTGATAGTTTTGTTTTTATTTTTTCGCCCTTCCTGTTCTTACTTTATTTTAAAGTGACTTCATTAAATCTAACTTCTATGGAAATCCTCTTTTTTCTTTAAATACCGGTGTTACAATTTTAGGCATTGCAAGCTGTCGTAAATTACCGCGAAGATTCACGTCAGACACCGAAAGCATCAGAAAGAGTAAAATAAAGCATTTTTTTTTAAGATTTAAGTTTAACAAAATTTGATTATGAGCAAAATTATGAAGTGCGGTAGTTTTGGTGAAATTCAACAGTTGGTTTGCAAGTAGTTTGTTTCACTTAACCGACTGCTCATGGTTTTAACGTTAAACAGCTGACATTGCCCGTACTGTCTGGCTAAGTTGAATGATGGATAATTCAGGCGCTCCCAATTTCAAGTAAAAATGGATTTTGGTAGATTCAACTTTTATTTTTTAAGCTTGCACGTTATACTGACACGCTTTTGCGTAAATCTGGCAAAGGCCTGAGTGACAGTGAGTTGGATACAAAATTGTCACAAGCAGTCATTATTTTCCGATACATTGAAGACAAAGACATTTTCCAAAAGGTCAGTGTTTTTATGTTTTTATTTTCTGAGCGTAATTAATGCAGAAGTCAAATATTTTATCAGAGCGGCTTGTGCAAGAGTTTTTAGACATGTTCTGGTTTTATTTTTCATTTTTCTGTGCTTCATCACAATTATGGTAAATTTTTTTTTCTTATGTGATTAACTTCTTTTTTTGCATTCAAAGTCTATTATTCAGTTGAAGAGCTGCCAAATGAAACATTTGTAAGTTGAGTTCGACATCTGTGCTAAACCGCTATTAAGTATAACATTCAGTATAACATTTAAAGTAAATATTTTACATTTTTTACAGTAATTGTCTTTTCGGTTTTAGTTCTACTCAAAAATGTTAGCTAATCGTCTAATTACTAATGCTTCTCTTTCGAAGGACGCTGAAGAATCAATGATTAGCAAACTAAAGGTAAACCTTTAAAATACATTTTTTAGCAATTGCAAACTTTAAATTTATCAAAAGTTGAAATTTAAAAAAAAATTAAATTCGCTAATTGCGGTGTTTCTAGCAAGCATGTGGGTTCGAATTCACGAGTAAGCTGTCGCGGATGTTTACGGATGTTGGACTAAGTCATGAGCTTACAGACAAATTTATCAGTGTAAGTCAATTTTGTTTTTTGCGGGTTTAAAAAAATAACTGAGTGTGTTATGCGGAAAAATATTGTTAGTAGATGGATCAAGCAGTGTTTGCACCTCTTGCAGTTATTTTATTTATACAATCAAGAGCAAAAATCATAGTCAGTAGTATTCGGAAATATTAAAATGAATTGTTCCAGATTTTTATAGTTATCAGTTTGTTTTAACATGATATAGTGAACAACAAGTATAAAGAGCTTGTTAATTTATAGAATTTGTGAAATAAATGCGTTTTTTATTGTAGAGATATTTTTATTATTTGCAAAATGCAAAGATATTGGACGTATTAATCTTACTGTTGAAAAAATTATTCGTTACATTATCTGTAATTTAGTTTTTCAGCACTGTGCTGTGAGCAATGTTACTTTGAATATCCAGATGACAGCATTGATTTTGCAAGCTGGAGCATGGCCATTATCACCGCCTAGTTCAACTCCAACTTCTGGTCAGTTTACGTTCAAAAATGTTATTCTTAGAAGTATTCTAGTGTTAAAATGTTCCAGAAAGGAAAATATGTTTTGTTTCAGTAAGAGCTTAGATGATTCTAAAATTTGTTCTGAGCTTGCCTCAAGCTTTCATAAAAAACCACATGCATTTTTTTTCACCTATATTAGGGGTTTTTGTAGTCCATTACTAAGAGTAGATTCATTTAACTTAACAACGTAATTATGTTTTTTAAGGAGCAGATGGGAAAGAGAGTACAAGTGCTGTCCAAACCACCGGTTTTATTGTTCCTCCAGTCCTTTTGCCATCTATTGAACATTTTGAAAAATATTATCAAGCATCGCATAATGGTCGAAAGCTGACATGGCTCTTCAATCTTTCAAGTGGTTAGCTCTTGCTGGTTGAAACACCTTAATTTTTTTGCAGTTGAGATCATTCGGAATTTTTAATGATGAGTTATCTAGCCAGAAAAACGACTTTATGAGTTTCGAAGGGAAATCGCACTTAAATAAGTAGTTTATTATTGCAAGAGACGAAAATAACCGACTAAAATGTTCCAACGCTGCAGCAAAAGTTATGTGGATTGACAATATATGATACGTAGTTAGAAGTGCGGTGTTTTTGGAATTCACTGGAGATTATTTGACACCATATTGTCTTCCATATCATGCTTTTTATTTCGATAGTATTAGATCTTTTCCTCGATACAACAGCTTTAAAAAAAGTATACGTTTAAAAGTCATCTTAATTCATATTTAATTGATTGTCTGGAGATTCTAAAATTTCCGAATTAATAGTATACTTAGAGTTAATAAAAAATCATACTGATGTAATTGACCATAAATCCTATATTATTTTTTTTTATATATATTTTTTAATTTCTATCGGATATACATGTATGTTAGACAAAGAAACTTAGATATTAGCAGTGTTTCATATTTGCATAAGATTGTAAATTAGAGGTGAAAATTTTAAATTTCCAGTTGAAGTGAAGTTGCACTATTTGGACAAAGTGTATCAGGTGACGATGTCTGCCCATCAGCTGGCAATTTTGTTGTGTTTTGAAACGAAAGATTCAGTAACTTTAAGTTATATCGAAAAAGCGACTGGTTTATCGGATGAATTGCTTAGCCGGAATGCTCGTGCGCTGGTTGATTCCGGTATTCTAATTATGGAGAAGAAGGTCGTTTCTTTTATTTAAAGAATTTTAACATTTTTGTAAAAATTTGTTATCTGAATTTATGACCTTTAACACTTTTCAAAGAAAGTGTTGAAGGCAAATTTTCCATTTTTTATATGTTTTTATAGGAAATGAATGAGGCTAATGAGGTGGCACTCAACTTGACATTGACATCAAAACGTCTTCGATTCAAAGTTTTGGTGCCTCAACTACAGCGACATGTAAGTGGAGCTATTTAAACTACATATTGCATATGCGCGGTGCAGCATGACTTTCATGTAGAAAAAATTTCATGGCAGCGTGATATCAATGAAATATCAGCAAAATAAACTTGTTTCTAAAAAAATATATCTGCAAAAAGTTCAAAGAAAAATTATATCTCGGAAAAAATGGCCCTTGCGAAGGGTCAAACCTTTTGTTGAAATAGGGATTATTGTTTTCTCCGTGATAGATACGGCAATCCATAAGAGACAACACTTGAGGATCGTTTTGGTTATCTAGTCTGTTTAGCATAAGCAATAAAATATATATATGTATTTTAAGGTAGAAAAGGAGGCAGAACATGTAAATATTACTGCTCAACAGGACCGGAAATATTATATGGAATGTACCATTGTTCGCATAATGAAGACACGAAAAGTGTTAAAACACGCAGCCTTAGTTAATGAAGTGAGTTCATGTATTTATGTTACTTCGCTTCATAGTATTTCTAATAGTGTTAAAGATGACGTCCAGGTGCTTAGTATGACAGATCAGAAATGTATGCAGTGTGCCATAATTCGTTAATTTTACTAGGAATTTTTCGGAAAGAGATAATTAAAAATTCTGAGCCTAATACTTTGTTCAATTGTTCAACTATTTCATTGTTCATTGAACATTTTATTAATAGGTGATTGAACAAACGAAATCCCGTTTTACACCGGACGTTAATTTCATCAAGAAGAATATCGAATCACTCATCGAAAAGTTATATATTCAGAGGACTGATCAGAATGATGAATATCAGTACTTGGCGTAGGAATCATTAGTGAGCCTCATGTACAAATTATGAATTGATCTTGAGATAAAGAGTTGCCAGACTATCTACCTGTTTATCCTCGTTTGTTTTCGTCCATGCCATTGTAAGTCGAGAAAGATTCGGGAGTTGGCCAATAAGATCACTATCAATAGGTAATTACTAGAAAACCGTTTACGCTTTATAGCTAATACATAATAAAGTGCCGTGGGAATTTCTACATATCTTCTATGTGCTGAGTTTGTCGGTCACGTTGGTAGTGGCATGAAGCAATATCCTTAATCACTATAGGAGTTATCCAAGCTTCTCTAGATTTGTCACGGAATATCAAGTGACGAATCATTTATTTATTTTTGTTTTAGTTTATAAAACAGGTCCTTGTTTGGAAAAAATTTTATACGATTGCTTTACATGTAAAGGAAACTGGATAATACAATGACACAATGGTAAAAATAATAGATGACAAACTGAAGAAGCTGCCTGGATAATCACAATCTTAATAATTTTCATGACTTTCGTGAACAGCTCTAAAAAATAATCATGAAGGAAGTAACTGAAGATCTCTGGGTATGATTTTTGCTTGTTATTCAATTTCCAGAAGATTGCAATCATGATTTTGTATTCAGCCGATTTTTACAAACAGTAAAAATTTTTACGAATATCAATCGATTTTCTATTTTTAATTTTAAGTAGCATTCTCATTTCTTCTCCTCAAACACTTAAGAAATCGTTGAAATATAAGAGTTAATAGTAATTTCTGGGTTACATTAAAAGAAAAATGCTTTATAAATAGAGATGCGATGTGATTTCCGAGTAATTTAAATATATATTCTACATGAATAGGGCACATGTTAAAAATCTTATTATATCTTCGAAATTTTCCAAACATTTTTACTGGAAAAACAGCTATTGTGTCTGCTAGCCAATGAGTAAGTGCGGGTAATTTTAATAATTGAGTAAGAATTATGAATAAAAAAATCTTTAAAAAATTAAAAAGTTAACAATAAAAATGCACTGTTTACGAACGGCAAGACCAAAGTGTTAAATTTCGAAGTGAAATATTCATCGCATTCAGCCACAAATTCATTTCATCTTTTCTATCTGCTGCCATTAGAATCCTGAAAGCAAAACTGGAGAAAATTTTCTCACGAATTCATGAACCACTTCAAAAACTTTCCCCCTTTTCTCTCACCAACTTTCCAATTCGATGAATTTTCATCGGGAAATGTTTGCTAAGCAACCAAATACTGATTTTAGCATCTCTGACGTTTCGATTATCTTAGAAAATGAAAATGCTGAAAAGACTTTTGGTAAATTGCAAGAATTTTATCTATTCAAATGCGTTGTCTCTGCACAGTATCACAGCTTCTAGTCTTATTACTTCGTTATAATCTTCAATACTATTCAAAGTATATGTTTCATTGAGTTATAGAATCTAAGCAATGACACGAAAAAGAAATTTCATGTAAGACAAACCTTATTCTATCTGGTTTTTGCGAACATTTGCCAGGTAGCCAGACATCGATTTGCATTGAGTTCGGATATGGATATCGTTCCACAGGAATAGGTTTGATTTCGTTGCATGCGCATGTTCTCAAGTCAATAGTTACTACTGGTATCTAGAATCCGAGCTAACTGTTGGTACACTTACTATTTAAAAAGTAAGTCTGAAACGGATATTACTGGCTGACAATAACAGCAGTCAGTCAAAATGAAAAAAAAACTCTTAAGATTCATCTCACAATTTATTAATGCGGTTCAGGGAAGCTATTTTCTTGTACTCAAAGAGGTGCAAAGTAAAATTAGCGTTAGAGTTGTTCCTAATGAAATAAGTCTATAAATTGCAGTGTTTGAATAAAACTTCTGACTTTTGTGCTTTCATCTTCGGGATATCGCCAAAATTGTAGTTGACCATCCCAAAGTACACACCAGAACCGAGCCCAAGAAGCAATGTTTTCAACTGGCTGATATAAACTCTGCAGAGAAAATATCTCATAGTTTAATTATAGAGAATCGACATTTCACAAGATTTTGTCACGAGAAAAGATAATATTATAGCAAAGTAAATTATAAAACATGAAATTGTAATTATAAGCATGAAAATTATCGAAGCTTAAGAAATTAGAGATTCGAAAAAATTAAACCGCAACGTTAAAAAATTAAATCCCAAGGTAATTCACAGAAAAAGGAAAATATCAAGAATAGTAAAAAGTATTTTTCAAAACCCTTCAAAAAGTTTTCGGGATGTCTCTTTGTTTTATAAATAAAATGTAGAAGCGAGGGAAACGCAAACTCCAAATTACTTTTGCGAGTTACGTTTGTCATACACTCCTATTATAATTAGGAAGTTTCCAATTCAAAAGAACTAAATTTTAGATCAAAAAATTGCTCACCAAAAAGCCTTTATAGCCAACATTGCCACAATCTTCTGCATAACAGCGAACTTTCATTTCGACAACTCCATCAAGTGGATAAAGAGTATCAGAGAGATGGAATCTAGTTTTGCCCACACTGCTTATATTAAGCGATAAATGTCCAACACGCTGGAATGATGGGTCTATTACCGCTGATGGTCCACCAAGTGAGACTAGTCCTGGAATTGGAGATTTCATTATTTATTTTTGCAGTAGCAAGTGCATTGATAACATAGCGAAAAAATAACGTTAGATAAATCAAATTTAGACTTTTCAGTAACTTTCAAAAATCTACTGACACAGATTATTAATGACTAGACCCTATTTCATTTCAGCTCTTATAATTATTTGATTCGTGAAATAATTTACTTGTCGACATTGCTTCAGTATATATTTAACTAGAAATTTAGAGCGCTATTTAACTTGCAACATAGCGAAAAAATAACGTTAGATAAATCAAATTTAGACTTTTTAGTAATTTTCAAAAATCTATTGACACAGATTATTAATGACTAGACCATGATAGTAACCTGGTGAAAGCATCGTTTTTTGTGATTTCTTCAATGAATTAGCACCCTTAATATGATATTTAGTTTCATGACGAAGCAGCTCTCGTCGCGTTCTCTAAAAAATTATAGAAATAGAATTTAGTTTCAAATGCAAGGAATTTTGTAGCCAATGAACACTTTGCCTCCTTACTGTAAACATATGTATTGCACTATGGCTACCGCAACACCTAACGTGACAATTTCCCTGGGACTGTAACACACCTCTAAATGAACTCAGAATTCGATTCACGTTATTTTCTGAATTATTACAAATCCACTGATGTGGCTAGAACGGAGAGGAGTTGAAATATAAAAATCTTCATTGTGATGATATCATGAAATAAAAAATCAAAACAGTAGACAAATCCAATTCGATGTCCACCTTAGAAAAGTACCGAATAACAAAGAGTTCCAGAAAGTATTGAATATCCTAAATAACTCACGAGAGCGAAAATTTCCAATGTACAGCTAAAATCGTGAGGAAGTGATCGAAACTGGATGTAATGCGGAAATTCAAGTCTTCCAGAACAAATGCCTTCATCGCTGGTCGTCAAAGTTGTATGATGAACTATTTCTTCATTTCGTATTAGTATAATAAAGTAGAACAGTAGTTGATCTGAAAAACTTGCTAAAAACGGATGTTTATTTTTCTCGCAAGTGAGCTTGTTAGGTTGGTTCTACCCACTTAAACACTTCAAAAAAATATCGCTAACTTAACTTTTTTTTTAAGAAAATAAACTAAATAAATTGGACTTTTATACTCATCGTATTTTACTGTACATGGTACAGTTGTGCGACACTTATTTTGACAAAAGCAACTATATACCAATTTAGAGCAAACTCTCAAATTTTAGATAAAATTTAATGCAGTTATCTCCTTACCATCATGATAGTTGATATGTCCGTTGATAAAATCACGCATAAGTTTCACTGAAATATCCGAAAATGTTAAACTTCCTTTTGGTCCATCAGAAACAGAATGCTGGATACCTCCCGTCGCATGTTTCTGAATTAATCGATCAAGTACAAAAATTAAAGCACGTCTCCGTTCCGTCGCTATAAGAAGTGCTCGCTGTGCATCAACCTGAAAAAGAATACGGATTAATGCCGAATGCTAATCAAATGTACAAATTATTTAATAGATTTCTTTGCGGAGAGATGTTGGAGAGATCTAAGTTAGAATGTGCTTCATAGATAAACTTCATAGTGAAAGGCGAAGGCAAGATATGTGATTTCAAGAGGCGGATGGGAATATCATTAAATGGTTGTTCTGAACTGAACAAAATCATGGAATGCAGAATGTTTTCTTCTAGCTTATTATTGGAAAAAGCATATCCACAACAACTAATATGGTAGGAAAAAGCCATCGACCTTAGAAGTATATTTCCTTTAAATTGATGCATTATTTTAAGTGAATTTAATTTGATAAATACAATTTCAAAAGATCCATGAACCTCTTCACGACTTCCCCTGAATTCTTGCGTACTGTGGCAAAATGACAGTGCCCGTGATGCTTGGACAATTTGTTCCTGCTGCACACTGATTGCTTTTTCTAAACGTGCTCGCTCAACTTCAAAATTCGCTCTATCATTTATATTTGCCTTCGACATAGCACGACTGAGAGAGATGGTACTATTAAACGGTGACGGAGTAAATTGCCTGACAAAAAAAATTTTTAAATCTTTTTCTTTTAAATCTAAAATTTACAATTTCCTAAGCGCAGTCACTTCCACTTTAACACTTTTCATGTATATACCATAACAGAAGATATTAACAACCAAAAGACATTCAATAATTTAAATTAAAAATCTAATCATCAAAAGACAAAATATTGCGTGTACATTATTTAATGTATAACTTTGAAACTTTCCTGATTTTATTCTCAAATAATATCTTATTTCCACCTATTTGCAACTCTTATTATTTGACACTTTTCATTACTCTACATTTCCAGCATTAAAACTGTGTTAATTAACAAAACAATATTGTTGCTTCTATTTATTAGATTTTTTTTTTAAATTGGACAAGAAAATTGTCAGTAAGCCTTATTGTTTATCATCCTAAGTTCTTTCCTACTTGTTCCTTCCCGAGCAAACTATCGAGCTGAGCTCTTCAAAGAAATAGAATAAACAAAAATAAAAACAAAATTATTTTTATTTAATATTTTGTAGGATTTTTTAGTTTTCGAATAAAATATCTAGGATTTAAAATTTAAATGTCATGCAAAAGATATGTGAAGAAATATGAAAAAGTCCCCAAAATTACCCAAGTATTACTGTCTCACTTCCGGATCGATTTTCTTTCTCTTTCTTTCGGTAAAAAGAAACTGAATGTGCCAGAGGAGCCATTGCTGAAACAAACCGTTTTCGGTATTCCTGTAATTTTTGTTTATACAATTATTTACTCCTAATAAGTTCATAAAATTTTTCGAAATGTGGAAAACATACCCTCACCATTCTCACGATCAGTCGATATCGTAGTTGGAGAAGATAAACTAGTTCGAATTTCGGGTGTACTGAGGATAGCTGACATAAGAGAAGAATTTCTGTCCGGTGTCTACAGAAGAGTTCAGCTTGTGCAACAAAAAAGTACTAAATTTACAGTTCGAAGATTAACAGAAAGTTAAACAAAAGTTATTATCGGTTATAAATGTATTACTGATCATTATGTTGAATTTTCACTGAAGACTGTTTCCCTTATATTACCACATAATAATACTTTTAAAAGACAAATTTTTTTTGGAAGCAATCTCTTACTCGATGAATGAACTGGAAAGCATCATCAATAAGCTGATTAGGCTCATTGTTATTTTTGCCGGAAATATGTGTTTTGCTTATTTCTTCTTGAATAATGTCTTGTTCCTTACTATATGCAAATCGTTGAAGCGTACTTTCGGTGGGCTGCTAAAAAAATCGGAGTAACTGAGTAACTCTGTACAGAAAACTGCCTTTCCTATACTGAATCCCAGCAACTAGAATTTATTATCAGTTCCTATCAATGCAAATGACAGTGACCTTATCTCACGTTCGTGAAAAATGAAGAGGCCTCAGTTTTGAAATTACTGTTTTTAAAGTTCTGAAAGCACACTATGGCAAGTTCTTTTTTAAATTTGCCCAATATACGGTTCCATTTTCAACAATTTAGCTAAAATACATAACTGGGCGAAACAACACGGTTAATTTACTAACAATGGAAGAAGTAGAGCAAGCTGCCGATATTGGTCGAAAATCAGAAATTTGAACTGAATCTGAAGAAAAAGTAAACTAGATTTCCAATCATCAAGTTTTGCATTTATATTTTTTATTCATCTGAATTAGATGTTCGGTTCATTGCTGCAACAAAATTTTGGAAAAAAAATTCACTTTTTGTTTCACAGTATGACTGTGGTCGTATTTTTGCTTGTTTCAATGATTTTGCCATCCGTACAGCTGCCTGTAAAAGTTCATCTTCCTTCTGATCTGGATGTAGAGGAGTACCAGTAGCAGAAGACACCTGAAATTACTAACAACTGAGCAGACGATAAATACATAAAAAATCCAGTTTTTGAGATAATGTAAATTTCTTTTTAAATTTAATCAAGGCGCACTTGTAGCAAGCATTTAACATCAGAAGATCAACATTAAAACTCACTCCACTCATTTCACGGCTGTGCTTATTAGATGAAAAAATATCACAGTGGTAGAACTAGTATGTTTCAAAAGGTATTATAAGTAGATGTGCTTACCAAAAAGAATGATTTGTTAGGATGATAAAAAAATGGCTTTAACAACACCTACCTCCCATCTATCGCGCAAACTTTTTACGCTTGCCGAACGAGTGTCAATTTGAGCACAATCAGATCCTTTTCTCTAAAAGGTAATAAATATGAAGATATATTACAGAAGAGTTAATAAAATAATTGAAACAACAATCAACCGGAAATAGAAACCGACCGACTCCGAATAATGATGTTCGAATTTCGAAAGCGTAACAGCAATTTTGGAAGCAACCTTCGTTTTCACTTTTTCCTCGCGGATTCTTTCATCGAGTCTATAAATATGTCCATTTGCTAAAGCTTCAATTTCTTTTAAAGATTAGTGAAATGTAGGTACTATGCCAAAAGATTCACATTACGACTGAGTTCAAAGTTCAATCGAGTACAATCTTAAACTTATTAAGAAAACTGAAGAAGGAAAAATGTAAACTACTTTGTCTATTTGGCATAAAATAGTCACAAATTTCGATTTTTTTAGCAACCGAAAGTACTTTATCGTATTTTGAAATTTAGTTATTAGACTTTGCCATTTAGACAATAAATGAATTTTAGACATTATTCTTTACTTTCCTTGTGGATATTCTTTTGAAGTCTTACTGTTTTGCTATTTGCTTTGCGTGGGTTAGCTTATCGGCATCAGTTGAAGATATCGCAGTGGCGTTCTTTGCAGCTGCTGTGATTTCATCAATAATGTCTTTGTGACTATTTACGGAAAAAGTTCCTGGAAATGTAAAAGTGCAAGACTGCTTTTTGTAATTAAAAAAATTTTCAGATACCTTTCTACTAATATATTAACAAAAAAAACGAAGTTTTATGCAAAATTTTCAACTTTTTATTCTATTTTTGCAGTTCATCCCACTTTTGCATCTTTTAAAAATCTGAAGTTCTAAAGAGAATGTCATCACTAAAAGACGTTTAGAAGTGAAGAGCGAAATCACCTTGATTCAACTCCGACTCGCTGCTATCTTGTTTGTTGCAACTATTACCAGTCTGCAAAAATAAAATACACTTCCACTAAAATAATAGAGTAAGAAGTAAATAAAAATTTAACAGCTACCCGAGGAAGCAAAAAGAATAAAATCGAGAACTTACGTTTTTTGGAAATTTCGGTAGTTCTTGCGTTTTGCGCTGCAATGCAAAGACATTATTAAATTAAAGACTCCGTAGGTTTCAAAGTTATTATTATATTTTCTAAAGCAAGCAAGTTCTAGACTTACTCTAAAAAACTTGTGAATTCCATATTCTTCATTTTCAGAACAATTGTTAGCATCAGATTCTGACGATTTTTTGTCCATCGTCGCATCTTTTTTTGATTGCACTTTAGTAAAACATCTTTCGGTTAAAGAATCCTAAGAAAATAGTGAAATTAAAATCATACTTTATGATTGCGAAATGGCTGAATCTATATGCCCTATATTCTTCTCTTCATTCCTTTTACTTAATATTTGGAAAACTCCACGGTCTTTGAGGCGGTGCGGAGACAAAGGGAAACATAAAACAAAAAATAAGAAATTTGACGGTATTTTTTTCTAACTGCGTGTGCCTTTTATCAAAATTTTGATTCATAAATAATCAAAATTTATAATAAAATTCCCAAATTAAACTTTCCGTCTGATTAGCCATCATATTCCCATTAAATGCTGCTAAAAGCTAAGCAACTAAAACTCACGCAAGGTGATGAACAATTTTCGAGTAAGGAATCAGTATCGACCAACTCACACACAGGTATCGCAAATCGCAAACGTTTTTCGCTTGCATTACGCAGCAAGTTACTTGATTTTAGCGATTCTGGTGATTTGTAAACAATTACCGCTGTGGCAGTCTTCTCCTGCTCATCTGTTTTGTCTGACGATTCATCGGCATATGCTATCGTCTCATCATCAAGAGTGCACACTGCTTTCCCTTCATCAATACGAGGCAAGGAACCAGTGGAAAGTTTGCTGACCGAAGCTGGTGGATAATAACTGATGGTGGGTGTAAATAGTACTGTTGGAGACATCTGGAAATTTTGAATTCCATAAAAACAGCTGAAAATTTATTTTCGATTGACCTCAAAATATACGACCAACACTGATTTATAAATATTAACGAAATTTAAATGTTCTTTAAAGTCATAAAGCCTAAAATTTTGCTCCATAATATTTAGGAGGCTTTTACGTTTCACATCCAGTTCATTGTGATAGTCTTATATACTCATATGGATCAAAAAAAAAAAATTTCTAAAACTGAACCAAATACTGAATAGTACTAAAAAGTTAAAAGAATATTAAAAAGTTAAATTACATCACCACCACTTAAACGTGGTGATGGCCCCTTGAAAAATGATTCCTTGGTGCGCATAGGTTTCATATCACATTCGAAATTTTCGACATCAGCAGCAAGAGCAGCAAATCGAGCACGCAATTTCTCATTACATGATTTGTCTGGGGTACCATCATTATGCAATGAGTCGTGACTTTGCTAAAACATCATGATATATTTAAGAGGGAATACATCAAAACTAAAAAGCAAAACATGAATCCCAAATAGTTTTGTATTTCCCTCAAGTTAAATGTAAACTTCTTCGGTTTTTTATTCCCATTTTCAAGTCGCATTACTTTTGAGATTCCTAGATTATTTTAAATCAACAAACATTCTGGGAATCATTCAACGAAATCCTTTTCATTATTTCTAGTTCTTCGGTTGGATAGATTGAATGAATGCTCTGCTCTCGGTTTCTATTTAACAATGGACGCGACATTACCGATTCGGCGCCGTTCTGTGACATTGATGTTTCTGAAAGTTTCTTCTTAAGCACTGCAAAGTAGCTTCATTGAAACTACACTTAAGTTGTAACAGAATTAATTAAATTGGTAACAGTAAATAGGTAGTATCAAAAGAATGGTTTTAAAACAATGTTTTTATTTAAATGGAATTTTATCAAATGGAACAATCGGTACCCAGCTTGCAGTTCAGCAATGCGTTTTCCTTTTCAATGAGTAATTCTCGCTCTTTTGTACGTTGCATAATTCTCTAAAATTTGCATAAATAAAAAATTTTACTTATCAAATTTTAGAATGTTCTATAAAATGAATATTTGCCCACAATTATCACAGAACAAAAATGAAGAATATGTCAATAAAATCTGCTTTCGAGGCATTATTCCAGCATTGCTATATCCTCCATGTGAGCTCATTTCTTTCAAATGATATGCTTAAAATGTTTAGCTAATCCAATAAAAGTGATTAATTTTTAAATTTCAAGGGAAAGACTCGAAATCAACTCCTAAGGTAAATAAGTAGTAGGGATTATTATAAATTACTATAAATGAAAAAAGAATCAAATAATTTTACTGGAGTGTCATCTCGGATGAAAAACATACAGCTAAATCGGTATCTTCTACTTCCATATTTTATTGACGATCGTTTATTCTCCACTATTAAATATAACGTTTATAGCCTGCAGATTTGAAAGTAGATGAGAAAAGAATTTTGCGATGGCACCGTTCGATAAGAAAACTATTACCAAGTACATTTTTTGCTAGACACTTAAAAAAATTTATTAAATCTATTATTTTAACAAAATTATGGTTGGGAAGGGTTTTAATTGCATAGATCAGAGTCTTTAATGTCACAGAATAATAATTTTAAACAAAATTTTCTTCGGTGAATCGCATTATCTTAGTTTTACCAAGACCATATTACTATAATCAAGACGACGTGTTACTAAGACCATGTGTAGTCGTGGATGTTATTTCTACAACAATTACTATTATCCACATTGCAAGATTATCGTATTTGTTTCGTCAAAATGATATACAAATACCAGTTAAAGGAGGATTAGAATGTAATACGCTAAGTAAAAGAGTCTTTTATTTTAAACAGTTAGAATGAAACAGTTTTCGTAGACAATCTCTACCTACTGCTTTCATTCCTTATATGCCTCTCCTTTGCAGGTGATTATTCAAGTTTTCTGGAATTCGAAGTAAATTTAGTAATGATGCAGCGTTGATTGTTCGATCTCAGCCACTAAAAATTTTATCAAAGATCAGAAAAAGCCTCTTTATAAGGTCATTAATAAGCAACTGAAAATCAGTTAAGAAGACTGAACGGACAATAGCAAGGCCGCGAGAAAGCTCACTGGTCATGAGATGCCAGTATGTCCAACAGAAGATTGTCATCATTTCTTTCTAATTCTTCATAAATTAAACAAGAGATCTAACAAATTACATCTTTACGAATTCAAAGAGTAGTTAATTAGAAAAGCAAAGCGACCCAAAAATGATCAGCGCCTCCATCGATTGATACAACACTTCTCCATATCCCGCCCGTTTCAAATTTGAAAAATATCGCTCTTCGAGTCCGGTATGCAACTGTACTAGCCCATGGTCACATAATTTGATGATGAAAGAGAAAATTGACACTATGGATCGAGGGCTAGTTAGTGGTAATGAATTAGATGGATGGGTTACTTTACTAACCTTATTATTAATGGGGTCTTTTCTATAATTCAGTTTTCCTATAAAATTTTCCTTTACTTCCAATTTTTCGTAGTTATTTGGGATAAGAAAGATGGGGGAGAGGAGGAGAAGAAAAGAAATGAGCCTTGTTGAGGAATTTCATTTTTGATCGTTTGCCTTTAGATTCTTGTAATTGCCAAGAAGTTTCGCAACTTCATGTACCACAATTTCAAAGGCATTTTCGTTAAGTGACATCGAGAGTTGAAATGACGGACCGCATGAAATTGAGCTTCGTTAGTGGCAGATTTAAGCCAACAGTACTTGACATTTTGCATTTACGTCGTGAATTTATGGACTAAGTTCTCACTGTGAGTTTGTCATCATGAGCATGGGTTGGTCTCGGTCTTTCCATGCGATATTAGTGGATACAAAAGCTTCCTAACAAGTATTGAGGGCTAGGACAGTACTCATTTCCAGGATATTTTGCTGGATAAGTCATGGAGGATTCAAACTCCTGAATGCAGTAACTGTGATAAGTCATGTAAAACGTATTGTGTGACGTAATGAGATTTGGTGATTGAGTAGATGGGCAGGGAAATGTGGGTTCTCTTTTTGCTTCTTCCTGCTCTGATTTCATTAGTTCAAATAAATGCTTGAGTAGTGGCATTGGGCATAAGTGCTTGACTAGTGGCGTTAGGCTTCCCTGTTGAACATCGGATGATTCAGTGATGCAAAGTGGAAGTGGAAGTGGCGCCGGCTCTGATTTGTTCAGCAGTTATGAGCAGCATCCACCGCCTCCAGGTTCACGTCTGGCGCAATATCTGCATGGAAACAACACTCAGCAAGTATCACGACCTTCTAGTTGGACTAACCGTAAGAGTTTTTTTCAGAATTTCCAAATTACAAGCACTTAACGAAATACCAGGGAAGGCGAGATCAGATGCCATTAATTAGGTGAATCCTGATATATTGAGATCAGTGAGATGTCTCCTTCATCAAGATCAGGTTATAAGAGTGAACAAAGCACTTATAAGGTCTAGATAAACCAAAAAAACCAAAAAACTTGTCAAATATTGCAGAAAAACTCTTCCATGTGGTATTACTATCGTGCCAGATTATCGTAAATTTTTATAGGGATGCCACCAAATCAATCTACTATAGCGAGTCCTTATGTCTTCAACAATCATCTTGCTTCGCATTCCAGCAATGTTGGTTATATCTTTGACTATTTCCCTTTTCACATCTTCTATCTTTAGTATGTAAAGGGATCACAAATATGATATAATATCAAGAAATTAAACTTGGACAGTTAGAGAAATATTCCATTTAAATTTGCCAGATACATTTTATCTTCGGAGTTGTGAATATTAGAAAAACGTCTGCTGTTGACGGTGTTGTCAAAGAAATAATGAAAGATAAAAACATCAACAATTAAATGCCAAGAGAATTGAAGATATAGTTTGTCCATGCAGATGAAGTCTTGTTACGCAAAATTGTCGCGATTTCCTGGAATTTTTCTTTCTGAGTACGAACATAATAAAATTTTGAAGACATGGTGATATTTTGCTGACTGAATTTATTTGTTAGAAATAATTTTGTAGCTGCCGCATTTTACATCGTCTTTTGCGGCAATGGGATTGAGTGATGAAAAAGAAAATCCATCTTTATCGGCTATGCCTTACGGTTTTCCCACATCATCGCAACGATCACTTAACTACTGTAAGTGCTGCCGATGTTATTTGCTTTGGGAAGTTCCACCATAATTGATGTGATATAGGGATTTTATGTGGCAATATGCCTTTGTAAGGAATAACTTATTCGGATGATCAGCCATTTTATTTATATTCATAATTTTCATTATCATTTATCTGTAATGGAAGTATCCGGAAATAAGTTGAACTATGTAATGAGTATTTATTTGTAACATTCAAGGTTATAGGTTAAAAAAACTGACTGTCAACTGTCAAAGCACTTCTTTTATCGTTTGATTTTGATATGCTTATTTAAAAATCTTGGATTAGTTTCCACACTGCTTTTAATATTCTCCTCTTTTTTATTTTTATATTTTTTTTTGAGCTAATGTAACACAAGCTTTGACTGCCTCTCCGATAATGCACGATCCATTGAAACCAAGCAGTCACATAAGCCAAGAAAGTTGTGGTTCAACTACTGCAAGTTATATGGTTTGTTTTCTTCTGAAAGAAATTGCGACTGGAAATTTTGTTCAAGAATAAGGACGCAAAAACTTCTCATTCCAGTAATTTTATTTTCCAGCAAGAAAATTTTGGTGGGACAACCTATTTCTTTACACCAACTACAACAAATTCCACTGTTGCTGATGGACAGCCTTCTATTCCACAGAAAGACGATCGCATATATGTGGTAAATTTCTTCAGTTTTAAATATTAATCAGTAATAAAATTTGGACAAGTGTGTTTCAGGTATTCATCCCAATTAGATTTAACAAAGTTAGCATAGTTTTATTAAACTATTGACTACCAAGGAGGAGAGATGTAAAGCTTAACCATACAAAAATGAAGGCAAATGATAATTGTCGAAGCATCTTTATCATAATTCGTTACACGGGTTTTGTTGCATTTAAATATCTGCTTTTTTTATAGTAAGTATTCATCCTTTTTGTGCTTTTAGTATATTTTATCGTTTCGCTTTATCTTGAATTCGAAAATTCAAAATGTTAATGCTGTTGTTTGGCATGTTTTTCATTATAATGGTTTTTTCAGACAACAAATGGTAATTTTGTCTATCACGGTCCTTTGCCACATATTGGCAAATATAAACCGCCTCGAGGACTTTCGTATTTTACACCACCTGAGTTAAAAATGGTACTAAATTTGTAATGGAACATTGTATATATTTTTGTTTGCATTACTCTTCTGAGATTGTTAGGTTTACCAATATTGTCATTAAATGAGTGCAGATAAGGCAGGTAATATCTTCCAAATTCACGCATGTACATACAGTTATTAATATTTATATTTATTTCTAGAATTTTATTTCAGGAACTATTGCAACGACAACTTGCTATCCAATGTCGCGCAGAACCATCGCTTTATCCTGATATCCCACAAAATGTCGAATATTTCCAGAATCTTGTTCCACTCGAAAATGTCAAATTTGTGGGCGGGCATATGGAACGGGGAATCATTGGGTCACATGTTACAACAGTTTATAAAGCAATCAATGGACGTGATGGCATGCCGTACTGTTTAAGGCGAATTCATAGTAAGCTTAATAATTTTGTAAAAAAATATTTATTTGAGAAGAAGAGAACTTCATATGGTTTTTTAGTCCCATAAAGAATTAAACAAATAGTGAAATATGTTAGATAAGTTATCAAACATGTTGATTTTATTTAATAAATTAATTCAGATGTGTGTACTAATAAACGGATTAATCTAAACAAAGAAATCTCGACTATTTTTTAAAGTTCTTGAGGGACGAAAATGCAGTTGGAAATATGGGATTTAGTTGTAATCACTTTTTATTATTCGATATGCGACACTTTAACAACCACTAAGTATGATTTTGTATGTTGAAATTCACTCTTCGTGTTTCCCTTTTCATTTTATCCTGCTTTTTGCAGATTTTCGAGTGAATGCAATGAAACAATTGTCATTAGCTGATAACTGGAAGAAATTAATGCATGTAAATGTTGTGCAGCTGAGAGATGTTATACAAACTCGTCAGTTTGGCGATCACTGTAATTTTCCCTTTTTTTAGTGCTATTCTAGTACAAAAGATAAATAATTCATCTAAACTTCCATATCCCATTAAACTACAACAAATTTAAGACAATCTTCTCTTTTTTGCTGAAATATTCAGACGTTGTTCAAAGTTTATCCATAGACTTCGAGAGAACATCCAAAAAATCTTATTTTGCTGTACTTTCGTTTGCAAATTTTGTTTAATATTATATAAGAGTGAAAAAATTAGATATAACATTTCAGCATTGCTCTTTGCTTATGATTATCACCCGCTCTCAGAAACATTAAAAAATCGACATCTGAACAATCGACTTAATGGTATGCGAGCTATACATTATTTGTAAAATATTTCTAACAGTTGTGAGAGCATCATTTTAAATTGTTCATACCGGAATATGGTGTTATGGCAGTTGATTTGAGCTCTTTTAAGGGAGTTTGCATTTCCCAACTGTTTGTGAGTAAGGAAAATTTTTGAAACGAAGAAACTTAAGCTAATATGATATTTGATGTGAAGTTAGTAGTTTAAAAAATGCTCAGGATTTATTGATTGGATCCCAAGACTTGTTGGTTTGATTTTTAAAAAATGTTTACTGTGGAATCGGTTTAAATTATTCAGTAGTTTTCTCCAATAAGAGAAGTGTTCTCTGTGACAGGTGCAAAGTTTATATTACTTTAAATACTGGTGAATGTATGTCATATACAGGCTCTTCAAAATTAGGACCAATTGCAAATCTCTCTGGAGGTGGTCCTGTGGTGCAAGAATCTTTAATGTGGTCCTATATTGTGCAACTATCATCGGCCCTCAGAGCCATACATTCCGCCGGTATGGCTGCGCGAACTGTTGATCCATCAAAAATCATTGTTTTTGATAAAACCAAGCAAGTATTTCATGGATTTTCAACTTTTAATATATCTGTATAGTCCTAAGATCAAGGTTAAGATTTAATACGATGCGTACTTCCCTATTTTACATTATAGTGATATTACACGTGGAAGCGTCAGTATCATCATGAATCCAGAACAACATGCTTAGGAATAAAAATTAATGCATGAGATTTATCATGAAGAAATTTATCTCGCAATAAGTACTTCGTTAGGTGCTGTTGATTCACTCTCCATATGCTACTTAAAATTAGAAAAAAACTCAGCGTAATAAATGTTTCAAAGTCTGTGTCTAGAAACTTTGTAACTATAAATGCAAAACCGAAATATCCATTGCTAAAATTTAATAGCCCTTTCTCGAATCTGTAATTTGTTCAACAGCCATTTTTGTTGTTTTCAGAGTGATGTTGAGCAGTTGTGGTATTCTGGATGTTATCAATCCTGGAAATGATCATACCATACAGTTACACCAGGTAGCCTGGTTTCTTGGCTCTTGATGATACAAATAATTTGTTCAACAATCATTTTGTTGAGACGTGACTATTGTAATTGTGAAGGGAACATTCACTGCCGTTTTAATCAATTTTCTATAATGATGCATGTAAGCAGTGATTGAAGTAAGGTAACTGTAAAAATTCTCTTTTCAGCAAGATGATCTGAATGGTCTTGGTCGTGTTCTAATTGCGTTGGCAATGGGTTCACTACATGCTATACGTCGTGAAAATATCAGTAACAGCATAAGCATTATCAATCAGCAATGTACCACCGATTTAAAGAACATTATCACGTATGCTATGTTGGACACTGATTTTTCTTGTTTTATTCTTCCATTCTCTTTAGTAGAAGTAATTTGGAACTGAAAAAAAAAGACTTGTTTTGAAACTCTGGCGCATCTTATCATTTTTTGATAGACATTTGATAAATTGGTTACGGGTAATGTACTTTCTTATAAAGAGACTATATAGACTATCAGATTTAAGATATTGCACCCATTATTCCAGACTTTTGTTACAAGCTTCAACTCAGCGACCACATTCTATCAATGAAGTTATGCCAATGATTGGTGCTCGTTTCTATGCACAGCTTGAAATGACTCAAATGAAAAATGACCTTCTGGAAAACGAATTATCGAAAGAATTAGAAAATGGTCGTTTGTTCCGATTGCTCTGTAAATTAAATACTATTACTGAGCGAGCGGAGTAAGTTTTTTTTTTTTGCTATACGATTTCTTCTAATTATTTTGAATGAAATATTTTGTCATTGCCTAATTTCCAACCTAAATTTCTTTGTTCCGAGCAACTGAAAAATCCAAATTTTTCTTGAGCGAAACGATCAAGTATTAGATCTTTCATATATTTGTTCTGAGGCGTTACCCGAAGCGCTTTGAGAGTGATAGTGCTATGTATCAAAATCTTGTGAAATTAAGTAGCAGATCTTGACTGACAGCCGATATTCCCAGGAAATTTGAATTCAGGTTTCAAATGGACATGTCATGGAGCGAGACGGGTGACCGGTATTTGTTGAAGTTGTTCCGAGATTATTTGTTTCATCAAGTGACTGAAACTGGTAAACCGTGGATCGATATGGCACATATCGTCACTTCTTTGAATAAGGTTCCCAACTTGCAGTTAATTAGGCATTGGTTAGTGGTACTATAAAAACTGGTAGAATTCGGAGATTTTGTGGTCGAGCAGTTTTCTTGCTGATGATTTATTTTCGTTTTTTATGATGTGGTACCAGCGTCATTTATTTAGTTTTGAGCATCCATAGTATGCGACGATTGTTTTTCATCGTATTCTTAGTCATTGTCAAGTCTGTTACTTCATGATTTCAAGTTGATTTCAAATTGTTGCTTGAAAAACAGCTTCTTAATAAAATTCAACTCTTTGTAATTAATACTAATTAACGTGATCATTATTCTTGATCTTCCAGTTTTTTTGAAAATTTGTTATTTGTTTTTTTTTCATTTCTTTAATTTTTGACACTCTCTTTTCCAACCATTTTTAATTATTCGAGCCGGTTTTTTGAAAAGAAATTGTTTTTAGCTAGACGCTGGTGTTAACGAGAAAATTCAGTTGGTTTCACGCGATGGTGAAAATGTGCTCGTGGTATCATACACAGATTTACGGCGGTGCCTGGAAAATGCTTTCAGTGAATTGCAAAATCGACCACCATCAATACCAAATCCACTGTTGCCGGTAGTTGGTCATCCTTAACGTTTTTTGTTTAAAGAGCTTATTGTTATTTGTTATCATACTAACAGGTGAGTTGAAAATTTATTATGAATTTAATATCATTTTTGCATGAAATCTCTATAACTTTGACAGTAAATTTGTTGAAAGATATATTATATTAAGATCGTTCCTTCTTTTATGCACTTTATGTGGTATTAAGAAATTATACCATATGCTGGAAACAGCTTTTTTAAGTACTCCTTTCCTTTGCAAGTCTTCTTTGGTTAGTGCTTGCATCTCCATTTGCTACATGTATTTGTAATTAATTAATGACACATTTATTCATACGTTTTTTTCTTACTACCAAGACATAAAATTTATAGTTTTTTAAAAAATTGTGGTTTATTGTTTGTTTGTTGCTGGTTTTTTTACCAATTCAAATTGCTTTTTTATATGAAAATAATTTTATTTAATTCAACTTGCCACATTATTTATGGGTTTTGTAATTTAATATTTTGTTTTTAGATTTATTTGGTCCTTTTTTCCTTTTCGTTTGATGTATTTTATATAATGAAGCGCGATATATTTCATATTGTTGTCAAAAAATGTTTGGTTGCTTTATTTTGTCACGTTTCCATTATTTTTTTTTAAATTATAGTGATTGTGCATCAATATTTAATTCATATATAAGCTTTTTTACCCTGTTCAACTTTCTTGCTCCTCTCTACTGCTCAGAAATTGGTTTTGCCGCGTTTTAATTTAGTGAATTTGATCGTCGCTTTCTCTCAGAGACGTATAGCGTTATTTTTCACGTAGTTTTTTACAGAACATTGCGGCATGTTTTAAAATGAGTAGGAATAGTTACCGTACTTTTCTCTGTTGCTTTTGAGATAGTTTTTCTACCATGGAATTTTTTGACAGTAGAGATAAGGAAATGAAGAAGGTATCGAAACCATATACACTTCTTGCTCGAGCTACATTGAAATTCGAATAGATTTTGTGAATAAACTCTTGTCTGTGTTGTAATTTGGTTCTGAATAGTCTAATTGTCTTTCCATTTATTTTTCGTCGTCTTTTTTATCTTAGCATTGAATTCTATTTTCGATTCATTTTTTAAATCTTTTTTTATTTTTTAGAGTATTTTTCTCAGTTCATTCTAAGTGAAACTAAAATTCTATCTTTAAGTGATGTTATTTTGCTGGTATTAAATTTATGATACAGTTCCACTGTGATGTAGTTCTGTTGATGTCAAGTAGGTTGGTTCAAGTTAAAGATAATTTTGTAAGTTTTGACAGTTGAAAATTTTGTTGTAATAATGACTTTAAAATGGTTATCCTTTATTCATCTTTAATTTTTTTGATTCGTCCGAGATTTAGTTTCTGTGCATTATTGGGAAGAACCCTATCTTTTTGTTTGGTTTGGTTTTCAGAAAGTTGAATTTTTAGATTTCTTAATATGAATAAACTACTAATTCCTCTGTCTTGATCATTAAGTGGAATATTGCGTATTGGAAAATGATAAAATGGCTTATGCTTATTATTATACTGAATAGTGTGAGCAGAAAGAAATGGTAGGTAGAGAGTTAAGTGGAAGCCTTTTCTATTTGTTTCGAAATTTATTCTTCCGCTTGCATGTTTTAGTAGTGGCGCGCTACTCATTCACTCTTTGATCAAAGGCATTTTTTGCAGGAGAGGTACTTTCATTCTGTTTCAGCAATCTGTTTTGGTATGTTTTACTGTATGCTGATGATGAATGTCGTTTTATTGTGTTCACGTGTTTGTGTTTGTAATGGTAAGACTTGTGTTTGGGTCTGTATTAGCCACTGTCACAAGGAATTTTAGGTCCAGTGTCTATTTTTAGAATAAGTAGTACCCGCTTTATAGAACATGATTCCGAGATTTCATTGCCATAAGTTTTCTTGCAGTCCTTTTAATCGATAATTTGAGATTTGTTTGCCCATGAGTTTGTGTCACTTCGAGACATACCCAAATGCAAAAATAGAAATGTGGCTTCAAGATGTAAAGGTTAACGGGTACTTTGTGGCAACTTTGGAATTTTATTTCACATCTTTTTTTTCCGTATATTATGTTTGCAAATGGTTTATGATTTATTATGGATTTAAGTTTCCAGAGATTTTGGAATTTTAAAAGATGCATTTCTCAAAAAAATTGTGTGTAATATATTAACAGTCTGCAGAGCGATGGTTTTATTCTACTATGGTTAGTTGGCATTTCTCTGAATGAAGAAAGACTCTTTCTGAGATTATTAGGCATGCGGGCAAAAAATATTCAGCTGCTTATTCAAATATATATTAAGTGAAAAAGTTATAGAATAAACCTATAAGGGTTGGATCTGCAGCCTGTAGAGTCAAAAAGTTTGCAATACACAAATATAAACATGGAAAATGCTTGTGTATGGATTTCGCCCAACACTGAAAGAGAAGTTTGTCTTTCTGTAGTATAGGGGATTTCCATAGTGCTAGCTAATCTTTCCTTCCTCTAAGGTATTTTTGTCCCAGTTTTTGGAGATACTGTTTACGTATACAAGCGTTGCATGTTTGTGTGGCAAACATTTCTTCTGCTATTTTTTAATATGAATCATTGGTTGTTTTCCGAAATTCTGATCTTTTCCACACGTTTCGAGAAATACATGTATTTTTTTATGCTTACTGGAAATGTTATTGTTTGATGTTTTATGCTTTGTTTTAGTTTGTTCGTTTGTTTTCTAAATTTCCTCGATTTGTGCGTGATTTTTATTATTGCATAAAAATGAAATTAAAATTATCTGAAAAACTAAGCTCAATTGTTCTCACTAATACTTCACATGGTGATAAGCCACTGTTACGTATTGCTCATTCAAAACCTCTTGGTTTATGTCGCTTTCTCGTAACTTGGTGAGGACAGCGTAATAAATGATATAAAGTTCGAGATGCTCAAGACGTAGACAACTTTATTGTTGAGGACTAGTGCTGCTAGAAGTAACTGCGAAATAACCAACAGACAAGGTAAGTTCCCCGGACTGTATATACTTTGGTCGTCGTCTGTGCAACTCTTCCGTCCCAACATTGTCGATGGATCATCTTATCAGTGGTTTGCTGCTAAGTTGGGACTCCATTTGTGGTCGTATCGCTGTTTGTGACTCGTCCAGCAACGGGGAGAAAGATAGAAATAGCTATTGTGCTCCCATGATTCATCACCTTTATAGTATTTCCTGGTCGGCCCATCAATACAGCTTTTTGGCCGCACATTAATACACGTCATCTTAACGATAGTAAGCTAGTGAGAAGGTGTGCAAGGCTTTTCAAGAAAGTTGCTGGTGAAGTGCTTAATGGATGGTCTTTCTGATCATGCTTGATTGTGTGATCTGTAAATTAATCATCTTTGCCTTGAGCATGATTATAAATGGATTTTTTTTGCAAATGATTCATTCAGTTATTTTTGAATTGTTCTACATCACTTACTTGAAAAACTGTTTACTCCTATCATTTTTTAAGTTTGGCACTGCACTGCTTCATAAAATATTTATAAAAAATTTGCAAAATTACTAAATTTATTTGTTTTTTCAATTTTGCTGATATTTTAATTTGCAAATCAGACGAAATATGCGACGACATTGGTGGTTATGTTTTGTGCTGACTGGATTGTTACTAGTAGCATGTGTGGCGCATGATGAGAGTGATAATGGTGATAATAACTTTGATGAGAAGAATGTACTTGATGAGGAAGAAAGAAGCGCAAAACTTGTAAGTTTTCATATTATTCTTCAAATAAAAATTGTTAAATCATATGATATTTAAATTTTAACCACTTGTAGTGCATTTCAGCTTCTTACATTTCTAATAGTCAAAGTGGGGAATGAAAATCATAAATAATTAGTCTTTGTTGTCCTTATACCTAAATCTTGACATATTTGTGTTTCCATTTTTTCACTTCTCTCTTGATGTTCTTAACTTGCAAGTTAAGAACATCAAGATAGAAGTGAAAAAATTGCAAAAGATGTTTCGACGTTTGCATATGACAACGTATGCTGTGACATATTGTTTAACGCTTCAGATTTTACAATTTTTCTTTTTCCATGAATTTGTACTGATGGTGAGAAACAATAAGTAAATCTTAGTTTGGACTTTCAGAAAGAAGATTTATATTACTTTAGGAATACATACCACCGCCATTTCAAACACCAGTGGTTTCCGGTTCACCTCTCTTGGTAGATTGGTTCTCGAATCGTAATGCAATTGGTAAAAAGTGGTTCCTATCAAAGGGTAAAAAGGATAATGTAGAAGATTCGATAGCCAAATTCAATGGTATTGCCGTTTTATTTTTGTATGAGGATTCAAGTCCTTTCATTTTTTGTGCTTTTCTTTTTAATTAAAAAATAAAAGTTAATGAATAGTCATATCAGTATTTGTGGTGAATAATCTTAAAGTGTTCCAATTTTGACATCGGTAGGTTATATTATTATACAAATAACTTATATAATAGAACTTACCAATAGCAAAAATTATTTCGTTACATGTTTGTATGTTTGTAAATTCGTTTATAACGGACAGCCTCAATTATTTAGTTGGTTTTGGCAATTGGTGAGGAAATGACATTAATGTGAATAAGTACTTTTTCAGGTCAGTGGGAAATAGACACTCCTTCAACAGTTGTAATCGACAATGATTTCGGGTTAATTGTAAGGACCAAAGCACGACACCATGCGATTGCTGCAAAATTCGATCATCCATTCAAATTTGATGGCAAACCTTTAGTTGTACAGTTAGTTTTTCATATGAAAAGTACAGAAAATAAGTGATTGAAATTTTTATTCTCATCTTCCTTTTGTTAGTTTTTCCTGACGGTGAAGCTATTAAAAATTCATCGTTATGAAATTATTTGAAGTGAAAAAAGATGGCTTAGACAAATAGATGAAATCGGGGTCAGGTGTCATGTCTTATAGGATGTTCGAAAGACTTTGAAAGAATAAATGTGCTGTCGTCTCACTAGTCATTTTTCCTCCCCTGCAAGCCCATCCCAACAGCTAGAAAGAAAAATCACCGTTTATATCAATGATAAATATCTTATATGCAAAATAAGCACTTTTTAACAACGCTTTTTTATGCAGAATTTATCTTGCAGTAACTAGAAATTAATCATAATTTAAGTTTTACTTGCTTGAGAATTTTTCTGAACGATAAAAGACATTTAGCTCAAAATACAAATTTTTTTTGAATGGATTAACTGAGTATGTAAATATACTTCGTTTTCAGGTATGAAGTAAAATATGAAGAGGGGCAAGAATGTGGTGGTGGGTACGTAAAATTGTTAACAGAAGGTATAGAGATGCTGGAAGAATTTACAGATAAAACACCATATACGATATTGTTTGGACCTGATAAATGTGGTGCCAAATCTAATATTTTATTCATTGTTCGCTTCAAAAATCCCAAAAACGGCACTATTTCCGTTAGTTCAAATATGTTTCGTCATCAGTTATTGTAATTAAAAATATGAGGATTTCTTACGAAACAAATGTAAGTTGGCAGCAGAATGGTGGATGTAAAACAGGGTTGCTAATTTTATATCATATTATTATATTATATTGTATGACCCGAATTTTGAGGTTGATCTTACAGAAAGTGACAGCTATTAAGAATATTCACTTTTTAAAGAGTATTTGCTTAGGCACATTTTTTAGGAACACCATGCGAAACAACCATCTAAGTCAGTTTCAACATATTTTGACGATCACAAAACCCATTTATACACTCTGATTGTTCGCCCAGATGAAACATTTACTGTGCTGATTGATGAAAGTAAAATTATGTCTGGTAGTTTAATTACCGTAAGTTTTTCTAATTTTATATTTTTCAAACTTCTTTCAAGCTTTTTCGAAATAATATCTTATGAATCCTCTTTCGAATTATTTGAGCAAGAAAAAAGAAAAAAGCTTGAAACTTTGAGAAATGGACTTTTTCGTGGCATTTTTGTATTTCCAGGATCTCGAACCGTCGATTACTCCGCCAGCTATAATTGATGACCCAACAGATAAAAAACCTGAGACTTGGGATGAACGCGAAAAAATTGATGATCCAGATGCTAAAAAACCTGATGACTGGTGAATTTTTTATGCAGTTCTGAAGTTTTGTTAGTTAGTGAGGGATAAAAGCGCAGTTTCTTTCCATGGATTTGATATTACAGGATTAATGTGAGATCAAATCAGAATAAATCTGGAATAGGTTCTATGTAACCCAGTTTTTGCAAACGTTTCAAATGGCAAATCTATATAATAATGATATTGCCATAGACATTTAACTAACTGACCTTCGATGAAAATTTAAATTAGGTTGAAAAATTGGAAAAAATTTTCTTAATGTTCACTTTACTACTAATATTGAATTTATTCTGCTGCGTTGTTTCCATGTTTAAGGGACGAAAATGCTCCTCGAAAAATTGAAGATGAGAATGCTATAATGCCCGATGATTGGCTTGAAGAAGAGGAAGCTTTAATTCCTGATCCAGAGGCAAAGAAACCATCTGATTGGGACGATAGCATGGATGGTGAATGGGAAGCACCGAAAATTGATAACCCAAAGTGTAAAGATCGGAGTGGTTGTGGTAAGTGGACAAAACCAATGATCGATAATCCAAATTACAAAGTTAGTTGAATTTTTTCGGCTGATTTTTCATTTGCTAGAACTTATATCGGTTCATAATTTAATTGATAAATTTTTTCGTAAGTATGTTTGATCAATAAACTGAATATCAGCTGAATAATGTTTTTTTTTATATCATTTAAAACCGGAATATGATTTGGAAATGTAAAATAAAGTAATACTTAAAACATAATGAAATGATACAAATACTTTGTACTTTGTCTGAAACTTTCATACTGATGGAATAAAAAAAATTTTGTTCAACTTGAAGTTAAAAAGGGAATCATTTTATATTTTTCAGGGAAAGTGGAAGCCGCCACGCATTTCAAATCCTAATTATAATGGGAAGTGGAAGCCAAAACAAATCGAGAATCCGAATTATTTCGAACCTCATCCATACTCTCAGCTACAACCTGTTACAGCACTTGGAATTGAACTCTGGACGATGAGTGCAAACATCATCTTTGATAACATTTATGTTGGAGATGACGAAAATTCGGCTTCCAATTTCGCCAAGCAAACTTTCAGAGTCAAACTTGCTCAGGTATTTCAACATTCTTACAAAATAATCATTCTGAAGAAAAGTTGAAAGCATTACTTTTGTAATTACTATGTGTTTCTGAAATATAATTATTGATTTCTATAACTCTTGATTATCATTCGTCTTACAGGAGGCTGCTTACGAAAGTGCATTTTCTTCTGATCAAGGAATACTTAGTAAACTCGTGTCAGCGACTGAAGAACGGCCATGGTTATGGGTTATTTATGTATTATCCATTCTTATACCAGTGATCATCATAGCTGTTATTTGCTTCGGACGCAAAAGTCACCCTATTACACAGGATTATAAAAAAACTGATGAAGTAAGTCACGTAGTAAGTTCGTTAAGTGTTAAGGGTTTTATGTCGAGAAGGATTTTTTTTTTCCCATGTAAGGTTATTCTTTGCTTTTTTTTTGAAGCCGCATCCTGATGATGAAGTGCCAGACCTTGTTGGTGACGATGATGAATCTATGGAGCGCAGTTCACAGGAACCGGAAACACATGATGATAATGCGAAGGAAAAGAAACGGACTCCCTCTCAATCACCAAATCGTTCTCACATGGAAAAGGTAGACCTAAGTGATCATTTTTATGGTTCTTTTATAATTTTGCAATATACTAGGGAAAATAAATTTTCGAAACACATTTTTTTGGCTTATTAATAAGTAAATAATCGTTTAATGAGGAATCTTGTAATTTGTAATGTCGAGCATTTTGCATTTCAGTTCATAAGATTTCATGCCCTGAAGATTTTTCCTTGTGCTCGTACAAATGAGTCAAGTTTCAACAAAGAAATCTTAGTTAGAGTTGTATCTGCATGTATTAAATTTATGTTAGGGAAACTGAAAATTCTTGCAATTAAAAATGAATATATCATTGCAGGAAGCGTCATCTAGTGAGGAAATGAGAAATGAAGATCGCAATTCCCCGAAAGTGAGGCGTGTGCGTCAAAGGAAACAGGATTAGAAAATGACATCATTAGCTCTGTTTCCAAATTTGCATCTAACTGTAAGCAAGCAGAAAGTGAAATATTAATTTCATTTTTTTGTTTGTAGCATTCGTCTTTTTGTTAGCTATTCCAAAATCAACTTTTTTCAAAGTCACTTTTCTAAAAATGTGTGATGCTATTGTTGCGATATCTACCTATGAGTTTTTTCTGAAACTTTCGTATCAATGATCGTTTGTTTTTCAGAACTGATTGTTATACTGGAACAGTTCTTTCTTAGGATTTTGAGATAATTGCCCAATTCTGACACCGTATTTTTTCATGAACGGAAATGCATAAGGTATGTATTGGAAATCATAAATGTGCTGTTCTTAGCTCTCTGGAATTTCAAGCATAATAATTTAACTATCTTAAGTCTGGTAATTAGCCATTATTTATTCAAACAATTTTCGTGTACTCGAAAAAGAAAATTGAAGGTCAAATGATCTTTCCTGGGACACTTATGAATCCAATGATTTTTGAAAAATTCTTAGTTTCTGTCGAGCAGATGATGGGAGTACCAAATTGAAACTCAGTGACAGGTCAAATTTTTTACTTCATGGATTTACATTTTCTGTTATTTTTGGATGAACTTAGCATTTTTGTCTCTGTAATTATTGGGGCTATGATGTTTTGATTTATTCATCGTTTGTTCTACAGCTTATTTTATTGTCAGATAAGTGATTGTTAAAAATATGTGAATCAAGAATAATTAAAATTACATGTCCTTCCCTTAATCCTTGATATTTCTTTGATCATGAATTCCCAGAATTTTAATTTTTAGATGACATTTAAGATTTCATATTTAAGAAAAAAATCTATTTGACTTAACGTTCTTATTACATTTATATGGCTGTTATCTCTATTTTTTTTCCTCTAAGGATTAACTTAGTGTAGTTGTTACGACACTGTACGCATTTGTATGACATGCGGCTTCCCAATGATTTTTGTGTGGCTTTGGCTTTGTCACAAACATGCGTTTCCCTAATTTTATGATTCATGCCAAGAAACAGAATACGAATTTTTCTCCTCATACTCGTATTTTGTTTTAATTCATAACTTCCGATCAATTAAATCTTTTCAAACTACCTGGGGTTCTCTCCTAGACATTTTCTGAAATTTTGATCTGATTTTAGGCAACATCTAGTCTTGTATGATCAGTGTCCTTGAAAAGACATTGCCATCGTCGTGAACAGAAATTACTCGCTTCTGCTTGTAGTATAGTAGAAATCAAGTATTTTGGCTGACTGGTTTTTTTAGCTTTTAATTTCACAGACCGGTAACACTCATACCTTTTGATTCCACTGTTCTTTTCGGTTCTAATTGTAGCTGATGCTATTTTAATAAACTTTTGTCTGTTACCTCAAACAAATGTTACTTGGCTCATCTTCCTATCATAACTAGAGTAGTTTTTTTTTTTTGGCTAACGTTAAATTCATCTCGACTTAGTGTTTGCAAATTGTCTGTTGAAATATCTATTTAGTTAATGAATTGAGTTTAGATATTGATAAATGCCAAGTAACCGTATTTTACTGTTTTCTTCAGCTATTATAGTCATCCACAATTGCTTTTTTTACGTATGTTTTTATAACATTTTTCCATTTTAAATAACGTACTAAACTGCAAAGCTGAAAATATGCTAGGTACCTATGGATAGCCTCAAATAGTTGTTGTTATTGACCAAATTTGTCAGAAAATATTTGGAAGCCTGACTTTCAGATTTTCATGATTTAATCTCTAATAAAAGTAGTGTAGCAGTAGCAAAAAAAACTATGTGAGTTCGTTAGCAAAATGCCAATTAACTAAGCAGATGAACTAGGAAAACAACCGTCGCATCACTTTCTGTTGCAAACCCACATGCAAAACGACTCGAAATACTTTTATTTTGGAAAAGGTTGTACTCATAAAAGATTACACTCATATGATGCTGTTTTGCTGATTCATACTGAATACAGTATTTAGCAATCTGATGCTCTTTTGATATCGCCGGTCTCGGATTCGAGAATACTCGTTCCAGCTGAAAATCCGATTCTGTTCTCAATCTTAAAAATCTTTGAATTCAAGTTTTCTTGTCTTTCTAAAGAAATGCGGAACATGTAAATTAGCAAACCAAAAGAATGAGGTATTCGAAAGAATGTAGTATTAAATTTTTTAAAATTGCATGAAATATCTCTGAGATAAGAAGACCCACTTTTTCTTGATTCTTTTCCAGTGTGGTAAATAAACGTCCAAGAGCTCCTTGGAGCTTGTTGTATCTACTTTGATTTTCGTACTTATGTACAACGGTGAAGGAGCTGGCTCGATCCGGATACGATCATGGGGTCGTGGTAGTGCATAAATTTCTTTTGTAGCCAGTAAGTCCTAAACATAGCTGTAACTTATTCGAATAAAGATTGTTTTTATATCTAGATATAACATACTACAGTTTCAATGTGCTTTCAATAAAAAGAAAACTAAAACCAAGGATACAGAACCAGAATAATTTCTTCAAAAAATGTCAGAAAAGAATATTAATATAAATCAAAAAATAATCGCAAATGGAACTTACAAGTGAGTCGTCCGGTGGTTCTGGGTGCTCTATTTCTCGTTTTTCTTTTGGTCGTTCATCATCACTACCTCGCATCCAATTTCGACATAGCGCGTACACGCCTTCTCGACGACCACTATCTCGCAATGCAAAAGGTTTACCACGAAGCTCGAAAACCATTCCTGAAAACTAATTTTATATCTTACACATTCTGAAAAAATACATCTATTTTCCACATAGCCTCACAGATTAAACAATGTTGTTCTGTTCAAACGATGACCTAAACAGAATGACTCATTCAATTTTATTATTTAATGCTGGATGTTATGCTCAGTATGGCATTCGCAGCAGTGATATAAAAAAATTTCTATGTTTTTGAGAAGTAAAATACAAGTAAAGCAAGCAGCTACTCACGTCGACTTTCACGTCGTAATGATTTCTTTGAACGTTCAAGCAGGTCCCTTTCCATTTCTTCTGGACTGTAAAACAAGATTTGACCAATAGCTAAATTTGGGTAAATGTATTCCAGTTATCGAACTGAAACGTTTCGCAACTAGGATTTCAATCAAGAACCCAACCTTCTAGCTCGATTTCTAGCTTGCATCCCAGTTTGAATCTCACCACTTCGTATTCCATCAAGAAGATGACCAAAACGTGTTCGAGCAAATTTCATATCTGGTGACTCAGGCATATTCTTGGTTAACGTCTTCTTGAAATGAAACAGTAAAGATACTCAAGTATCACGGAATTTTTATTGTTATATATAGTTTCTGTTCATGAACGAACTAGCAGTGGAAAGATTAAATAAAATTATAAATGGTTGGGAAAATTATATAAAGTTAAGTAACAAGCAACCTATTCGCATGAAAAATTATATGAGATAAGGTAGAAATTTCAAAAATAGCAGATTTGGTTTTTTGACGAGAATTACTTAAAAATACCTCTTGTATAACATTCGCTTTCCAAGGTGAAACATTGGCGGCAGCGGAAGCATCATTTACCGATGGCTCACATACGGGAAGCACTATATCTTCCACTTTTTCCGATGATGACATAGTATCTCTGAAAAGTTTTCATACTGATTACTTTTTCAAAGATCCAATTTCTCACTCATTCACAGAACGGTAAACAGAAGTGATGTGTCATTTTATTTCCATCCCAAATCTACGTAAACCATAGATGACCCACTTGAGATTTACGACATCATGAAAAGGTCATCCGTACATCACTTCACGCGACCACCAGCAAGAGTACACAAGTCGTCGTAGTGACATAAACGATCGGCTCAAATTTCGCGGTTATCGCTGAGGGACGCGATGAAAATCGCTTTATTATCCGTTCACTGCCGCTCTCATCAAATCTTCGATGTCGTCTTTTTCCGCATTATAATCAATCAAGTCCGAATTTTGATGGATCTTCCTACTAAGTCCATAATATCGATGATATGAAAGGACGATAAATTTCTAAAGGATTAAAATATCAGACATTTAAAGCAAAAACAGAATTTAATATTAAAATGTATCAGAAATTGAATTGATAAATGCTTGCTATTTGTTTTGTTTAATTGAATAGATACTTAATGTTATTAAGCTTTGTCAAATTATCGATATTTTTGATGATCGTTGTTTATCGTCAAGTTTAAATTGAGGAAAAGCAAAAAAAAAAAGAAACATTCATTCGATTCATCTCTCAGTATGCATGATTTGGAGCAAATATATTTCGTATACTGGTCTTTTTCAATAGCTAATTAATGATGTAATTAGTTATAAATAAAAGAGTGTTACATCGTTTATTTATTTTTTCGGACAAATTAATAAAGAAAAAAAGGCAAATAAAAAAGCTTGAAATTGATGGAATCATACCCGTATTCAATATTTGATGTTGCTGCGATGACGTTTGTTTGGACGAATATTTGGGTCATTCTCACGCAAATGTAATTTTTTTTAATGATTTAGTAATTAAAGCATGTAATGTAAAGTAAGATGAGAAATACGAGTGAATCAGGACGGATATGAACGATGTGGACATCACATCACATTACATCCATCCATCCATCCATCCGTTCATCCATCCATCCATTCATCCTTCCTCTCCTCTTCCGATTCGTCCAACTGCCAGTGATATCTGTTACAACTATCATCGCATTCTTAATTCTTATCACTATTATTACCGTTACTGTGATTGTTGGTCAGAAAATCAATTAATACTTGTTCTTGTTTTTTCAATCTTAATTTCTTCCGTCTCAGTGTAATCATAACAAAACTTTCTACTTCTGCAGTGTCATTTCTTTTTGTTATCGCCTTATCACCTACTAAATCTTATATTTTACAGATACTTGAGCAGAGCAATGGCAATACCATCATTTCTTATTGCATTCATCGTTTTCACTTTTTCCGCAAGAGGCATAGGTCAGTGTATCGCATATGTTTTCTTTTTTTTTCAAATGCTTTAGAGCACTTAATGAGGAATACAGTTAATTCGAGAGTTTATTGGTTACTTTAAATAACTTTCGATCATAACTTCTCGGAAGGTGACCAGTATACATATATATTTAGCTCGCCTGAACATTGTTTTTACTTATTTATATTGCTCAGTTTTATTAATTATCTTCTTTTTTGTGTCTTTGAATTTTAATTCTAAGGTTTTTAAGGTAAGTTTTGCTTACATTACAGATTCTTGTTAGCATTTACTTCAAATAAACAAGTGAATAATAAAATATTTGAGTAAATTAGACCTGAAACCATACTTTAGTAATTCTTTCTTTTCTAATTAATTGCTGATACTTTGTAAACTTACTTGAATGATAGAATTCGCAAGTAACTTTCGTCTTATTACCTTTTTCGCTTGAGACATTGAACAATTAACACTCGTTTAAATATACGAACTGTGTGGGAAAAAATGTATATCCTTTTAACTTCATTTTCAGATCTTTTTCTTTGATAAATTTTTTCCATTTCTTCTCATAATAACTTAAAGGGAGAGAATAGTTTTCTATTGAAATACTATTCAATTCATCAATCATTAATTATTTAAAGCTAATTAAGCTATTTTTTAAAAAATTGTTTATATGTCAGATTAGTTTTAGAAGCACAATTGTCCGCAATGTTTGGAAATGCAGTGCAAGCGAATAATTGCGCCCAATGGACAGCTTGGGGTCCATGTATTTGGTTAAAAGGTAATAATCCGCGATGGCAGCGTTCCTATTTCGATCAGTTGCTACCTGGCAAAAATGGTTGCCGTGAACACATTTTTTTCAAACTTTTACGTGAACGTTGGAGAGTGGTGAGTTGTATCCTCCTCTATGAAATTCTAATTTTCTCTTTCGATTTTGAGATAAAAAGGTTTAAAGCAATAAATCAAAAAACTTCTATCGTGAATATTATGCTCACTCTCGGAAATACAATCTTCCTTCCCGACAGAATTATTGCTCATTACAGTCTTTTTTTTTTAAATATTTGTCCATAAATTCATACGAATACCTTTCTTTTAAAAAGTGCAAAGCAAAAGAAATTACATTTAAGTTTCAACTGCTTCATTAATCAATAGCAAGAATTGATATGATGAAAATTTAATTATTCGTTTTAATCCTCAAGGTTATAGTTGCTTAACTGTGCACTTCAGATTTTAATGATACTTCTTTATCCTCTTTATATTGAAATTTATTTCAAAAAGAACTTGCTAAAATCATTTGAAAATAATTTTGTTTAAATTATGTGATGCTGACAATGCCAGATTTGAAAACTAACTGGATAAGAAGCATGAGTTAATTCTCAAAAGAAAGTAATTGTAGATTTTGCATCAAATATCAAAATCCACAATTGAATTTTTAGAAAGTTCTTCGAAATTTACTATTTCATTTGAAAATAGAACCAGAAATAATTTGAAATATACTCTCTTTGTGCACTGAACTATGTTTTGAGGTCACTTTGAAGTTCAACAAGAGCCCATATTTGTTATTCATCTTTGTTATCGCATATTTGTTATAGATTAGAATCTAATCTTTGATGATCTGTCGAAAGTAGTGAGATATGTGTTTAATAGGTCACTTGTTTAAATCATTATTTGAAAAAATTTCTTTGCAGAAGCTTTTAGGTGACAGAAATTAAATTATTAATGAATGAATATTTTGCAAAGTAAAGTTAATTGCGATAGTTTTTCAACAAAATTAATTAGCCTGTGTCAACTGATGGACAATATTAAAAAGTATCTTTTTTACTAAACTAAAATTTTAAATGTAACCAATTCCTGATAAGATTAAGAACGGATTATTTCGTTCAGCTGTCCATCAGTATCCTCCTCGATTGTATGTGTTACAATGAGAGATGTGCTTGGAAGAAATAATTTTGTCTAAGCTTTATCATCATTGAAACTCTCAATCAGAGATTTATTCTGTTGATATATCATAATCTGCCATATCATAATCCTCCATTAGCAATCTTCCTGTCACACTTGTCATTTTTCATAAATAATTCTGTATTTTTTTTCAAAAAATAAGTTTGAATAAAGAAAGGAAATAGCAATTCATTGATGATTTAAATTCCTACTATTTAATCTCTCTCTTCCCAAATGTTCCACAAATTGAGAAAAAATTTTCTCATTCCATTTTGAAATTGTAATTTAATCAGCAAAGATATCGTTGGAAGATTTATTTATTTCTTTGCCAACAATGAAACAAGTGACAAAACATAAATAGAAATGCAAATGACCTTGAAGGAGGAATGCAGCGTTGTTAAATTAACAAACAATCGTCGCCGAATTTTTAATGCATCGATAAATTCTGCAAACTGTTTTGCTTAGTCATAAAATGGCAGAGATAAAATATAAGAAATGACGTCATGTTTCCATCGTTTTTTTTCGCAAATATTTCTGATAGTTTTGATATGTTGAACAGGAGATCTTGTCCATCTGACCTTTTAACTTTTGAAAATATAAAGAAATTTCAAGTGCATTAGCAACATAATCACTCCAGAAATGCAATCTTGAAGCAATTTGCAAGGTGAAATATGAGTCATTCTTGGAGAAATCAAATTTTAGCGGAAAAAAATGAATGTTTTTCTATTTGTAGAAGAAGGTTAATTATAACATTATGTATATTTTTCTAAGAATTGGTTAAATCAATAATAAAAGTCATTGATTTCATGTAACTGAAATTTGTTTTAAAAAAAAAATCTCCTAAAAATAAAGATGTGGAGTTCGGCTTTTAAAACCACATATATTCATAATTATAAATCCTTTGAGCATAGAATCAAAATTTTAAAATCCATATGAAAGTTTTGAATATAGCTTTTTAAAGCCAAAATGCAAATCTAGGATTTCATTTTCTTAAATTGAATGGTTAAATTGAATATGTTCGCACTTCTTCTTGTGGATTTTATTTATTAGATATTATTCAATTATTACTTCCTGACTCGAGCAAATAGCGACTGCATTTGAGTGATTGTTATTATTGTACAAATTAAGATGACCTCCAAATATACATCATCATCATTGTTATTCTTGCCATTTCATTTTTAACTTTTTCGTTCACGATTGTCAATTTTGTATTCAAAATGAAAGTTTAATTATTATTCACGATTATAGGAATGAATATTCATTTACCATAAAAAGATGTAATTCATATTATTTTCGAAAATTTAGCTCAAATAAAATGGTAATTATAATATGCTTTATTGCCGATTTCGCAATACTTTTGCAATGAGAATGTATCCTATTTTATATCCACAAAATAACTTTGGCTTGCATTTTTTAAAAGCCAAGGAAAGCAATCTTAATCTTCTAGCCCATTAATGTTGACAGATTTTAGGCTTTCAATAACTTTTATAATTATCTGCGCAATGTTACCATCAGTGAACAACAATGTGGCCAATGCTCCTATCAACAGAGTTGTGGACGACAGTGTCATCGACGGTTAGTTCACAGGAACACAGTTGCTACATGTTTATAAAAAAGGTAGATAATAAATTATGATTGGAAAAGATACAGACGGAGAAATTTGATATATTTATTTCAAGTTCTTTTCCCAGAATCTATTTCATGTCATAAATAAGATTTTAAA